GTTGGAATGTGCTCTAAAGTGGTCAGACTCACCAAAAAAAAAAAATATATAAATAAAAATAATAATAATAATAAAAAAAAAAAATCAGTGTCTCCAATAGCAGTTATAAATTACAACACTGTGCAGGCATTTTTGGCAACCCATTGCTCCTTCATTGTACAGTAGACAGTGTGCAATACAGAACCGGCTTCCTCTGCCAGAAGGCAGTTGAAGGCATAATCTGTGTTCTGTCAGGTATGTTGTGTACATTATAGTAATAGATAATTTTAAAAAAGTATTTTTCTCCTTACACATAATTGGGTGTTGGAAATCAGCAGAGCTTCACCTCATTAACTAAGCTATGGGGAAACCTCCCCTGCAAAGGGCAAATTCCCTTGCAACAGCCTATTTGCCTTTAGTAAACTAGAGTTTATGGAAAATGATTATGTAGATTATGCAAAACTTGAATTACACACTTATTATAAAGCCATGACATATAATTACTTAGTAAAGGCCCTAGAACATATGTGTTGCATCTCAAGCCCAACCCATGTAGTTACCAGGACCTGCTGAGAGAGTTTGACTGGTCAAGATCTGTTTATCAAACCAATATTATCATTTGTAGCTAGCTGTGCCTATCTGAGCACCTTGCTACAAAGTATCTGCATTTTCTTTACACAGTGGTTGCTGAAGAAGAAAAAAAAGTTTAACATTTTTACCCATAACTAGTCCTAAATAACTAACTTCCATAGCCCAATATCACTGCTCCTTCACGGCAAAACCAGGGAGAACGGTCAAAGGTCAAGCCTGTCTTGCTCCTTCAGCAGTTACTCACAGAGAAAAAGTCAGTCTGCTCACAATTTATTGTAGCGCACAGATACACAGTGTCCCGCAATGGATACTCTTCATTCTGACATGTTTCACCCAATAATGGGCTTAGTTATAACTTTTTTATGTGAGTAGCCCTAATTAACTCCTTCATCTTCCTGTTCTTCTTTCCTATTTTTGTTTCTGCCTAAATTTTCCATAAAGAAATGTTTATTGAAAAGGTATGAAAAGTACACAGGAATGATACATATGTTTACAGAGAATCACATCTTATACACAGCAGGTTTAACAAAATCCAATTTTTTATTCATTTTCCGATTGTAGAATTTTCTGGTGTTTTCATTAATTTTGTTTGTAATTTTTTTGTGTAAATAGAAACATCAACACAATATGTAAAAGATTCTCATAACTTACTTTGTAAATAATTTTATCATGCTTTGTACCAGAAACATTATTTTGGTGTCAAGATAAACAAGACCAATTGAAAAAAAAAATGTTTTCTTTTTTTTAACACTACAATTTACAGAAAATGAAGTGTCTTGGAAGAGAATATTACCTAAAAAAAGCCTTGTTTGTTAAAAAAAATTCTGAATTGTTTCAGTGATATTGCAGTGACACTAAACGCATTTTGGATCTTAAAAATACATTCAAGTACCCTAATAATTAACAAAAACGTAGCTTACACGTGTTTCACTTGGCTGAAGACCCTCAAATCATCTATGAACTTTTGTTCCCCATAGTCCCTATGTGTGCTGTAAAGCCACCGCTCGAAACTTGCTCCCCTGATGGACCACAATCTCAATACAAATTTGTAAACTAAACGTAAGATTGTAGTCTATAATGGGAGTGAGCTTGGAGCGGTGGCTACTTTACAACACACAGGGACCATGGGGAACAAATGTAGCCACCCTCCAGAAGGAAGGACAGCGTCAGTTGAATTCAAAGATGATTTGAGGATCTACAGCTGAGTGATACACAAATAAGATACATTTTTGTTATTACTGAATGGATTTCTAAGATTTACCTCCTGAGTTTAGTGTCACTTTAAAGCTTTAACTTTTGTAAGTTATTTCAGGTGCATTTTCAATTACTTATAATATTTGCTGTTTCTCGTTGTTACAACTTTAAATTCCTTTAAAGTTGCCTCCTTTAAAGCTTGCCTCCTCAGTACCGGTCCTGATATCCTCCTTTAGGGTGGCTTGTTTCCCTTACACGGTTCCATGGAGCCGCACTTTTGTGTGTGCTCCAACGATCGGATTTACAGGACAACGTGCATACGCTGCCAATGCCGCATACACAGGCAGCCCATAAGGACAAAACCCACGAAATACCTACCTCTGGCCCCTCCTCCAATGGAGACAATTTCAATCACTTTTTTGGAAGAGGAGCATAGTTGGGTCTTGTTTTTACTGTCCTTTCAGGCTGCCGGTGCATGCCATCACAGGCAGCCAGCATCCTAACATTGGCTAACAGGGCTCATATGCGCAGTCTGAAACACAGTGACCAGGTGTTATGTTAAATGCATACTCCATGACCTGAAGTTCAGGGCAGCAGTGCACAGGTAACTGGAGGAGGAGACTAGGAGATTAATAAAATGTAAGTGTTTCTGCTGGATTTTAAATAGAATTGTTGTAGAATGTCAATAGTATTTGTTTAGATGTATTTCTTGTATAAAAAAGGCTTTAATACTAATCATAGCTAAAATGTGAAATTTGGTCTGGAGCTTAAATTAGTTAGGAACTAATAACCACATTCTTGTAAAATAGACTTTTAACTGGAAAAAAGGGGATTTTCTTTATATAAATGTGTTCCTCCTAATTCTTACCCTGGATTTCATTTGGATAGCAGGCATACACAAATATACAAGTACAAATATAAAAATGCACAGCTCACAATGTAATAGGAAAACTATTTGCACTTGAAGATTTTTATTTCATTTTTCTAAACTTACTGGCACATAAACAAGATAAATAATTCTGCATCTACGCAAACAGCAACAAAGAAGCATAACACTCTGTAGAGACATTAAAAAAGTAATTAAAGACACAATTAGATCTAACAATTTTTGTTACATTCATTATGGCAGTAATATCCATTAAGGCATATGCAGAATGAGAGTCTCTGATTTAAGTTTGGTTTGATAAGGTGACATTGTGTTTGCCTAACTGCATATTTACAGGGTAAAAACAACTATTGACAAAAGATTCTAGTTTCCTGGTGGTGGAGACAAGCTCACATCTATGATACGTGTCAAACAAACCACTTTATAGGGAAATAGAGATTGGTCCTGTCAGTACAATGGTGTTATTTCACCCTTGATGAGCTAAGTAGTACAGCTGCAAACTCTAGGGTAATATCTTGCAATTAAAGTCCCTGTGTAAAGAAAAAAAAAGAAGCCAGCCCAGCATGTTGTAAATTAGAGGCAGCTGTTGCTGCAATACTTGCCTCCTCTCCACTCTTTTTAAAAACTGAATGACTGAATGATGGCCAATGATGGAGAGGATGTTGTGCGCCAACATCATTCAGCCTGCTTCCTGTGAGCTTCACCTGTCTTGGACATACATCCTAGGGGTGTGCCCCCATGTCAGCCTGGGCTCACAGTATAATAATGTGCTGACTTCATTAAGACAATGAAGAATGCCCACTACCATTACAGGGAGGAGAGGAACCAGGGATGCCTAATGGATTTAAGGTATGCATAGGGAGTGAGTCATATTTTCCTCCAAGCCCTGAAGTCACGGGAATTTTTGTCAGCACACAGTGATAAACAGACCAGCAATGAAGAGAAGGAATGGCAAGTATATGCTAGTGGGGATGAGGAGGTTAAAACAAACCTGTTGCTTTGCCTTGAATAAGCAATTCACAGGTTGGCTTTAGGTATCAGTCTGAGATGGACTTTAAATAACAACACTAGTCAAAATGATAATCTGTTTATACACTGTATTGAACACACTGAGAAGATCTCAATATATGTACAGCTATTTCTGGTTATCTGGCTCTGGCAGAGTTGATAATATGCAAATTAACTCTGACAGATTTAGTGCCTGTGCCAGGATAACTGACAACCGCTCACTAAAACACAACATAGTGCAGGGAAGGACTGGGATGTGAGTTCTTTGCTTCACCAGTCTTAAACACAAAACATTTGTTAATATTTAATGGATTTTAGAACCACTACTTTGTGTAACTTTAAGGGCTGTCCTTCACTTACATCGGTAAAGTCAACAATGTTGCACTTATGGAACATTAATTCCCAATAATATATTACATACCTGTTTTATAAAGATTTTGCCTTTTTATAACTCAGCTTTTCAATACAGAAATTAATACTAACCCATAGTTATGTTATTATTTTTCTGCCTTGCTGTAGAAGATTAATAGAAAAGTTTTGAAATGTCAGGGTTGCAAATTAAAGCCAACCTGTCTTTAAGAAACAAGGTATAATCCAACATTAAAACAGGATAGCACTAATGTGCCCGTACACCTATGTCATGTCATTGCCATGCCATGACATTTTATTTGTTGCCGTGTTATCTTTTCCCAGCCTGTTAAAAAATATCCCGACGTTTACAGAGCTCCTCTATTTACAAATAGTTCAACAAATCAGATATAAAACAGTTTAAAATCCTTTGTTCCTAAATGCACAAAGAAATTGTCACTATCATTTAGGCATTGCATGGGGCATGTAAATATTGGCATCGCTGATTCACAGGCCTGTGGCTTGTCAAACAGCAGCTGGCCACACCTAGTCCTGCCCACTGCTTTCTGAATGGACAACACTGCTTTATCTGCCTATACTGTGCGCTGCAGTGTCTTGGAGGAGGAGCATGTGCAACACAAATGAAGGAGGATGTGGCTTACTCAGGAGAGGTAAAGGATTATTTTTTACTTTTTGTATCACATAGTAACTAGATTTAGGACCTGTTTAGTCTTTCACACAGAATCTTTTGGATGTATTTTATTATTTAAAATAGCTTAAATGTTCCATAGTAAAAAAAAAAAAAAAAGCCTCCATGCCTTAGCCATCTCATCTAAAGCATATTATTTTCTCCAAAGTTGCAGGTGTACTTTATATTCATATAGTAAATATATCATTTTCACAAATCATGTACTAAGCTACTTCCACCATTTTAACTTTTTGTAGGCTAAATAACACAAAAATAAGATTTGTTTTAATTATTTTGATACCTTCATGTACAAATACCACAGGTCAATCTTTAAAGGAATGCAGGCCTTTTATCAAACTATGTATTCACACTTCAGTGATTCTAATCGTAAGAATTAAAGTTAAAGCTTGTGCTTAAGCTTTAATGTGGACAAGTCTTGATACAGTGTCACTAGTACAGTGTGCAGTTCCCTATATGCCCCAGGAATTCCTTAAAATATTAATGAAGTCTTCATCACTCAAGATGCCAATACTCAGTCCTTCGTAATAATCTTCAAATTCACTGTAGGATACTTCCTGGGGATTAGTACAAGCACTCTCCAGTGTTTCCAAAAATGCAGATTTGATTTCTTCCTCTGATGCAGTACCTAAAAATAAGGAAAATTGAAAACTGGGACTTTCCTGTACAAGTTTAGAATTACACATACAACATGATGTTACATAATACAAATGGCAGTATTCCTTATCTCCAGATCTCAAGAGCCATAAATAGGCTTACAGGCATCCAAAACATATGCAAATCGCTTCCAATTAAATGTAATTAGCAATAAGTTTATGCAAATTGGGTACATGCAGGGAAATGTTAAAAACTTGGCCTTTTTGGTACCCCAGGGATTTTGAGCTAAAAACACATTGATACAAGGATTGACATGCTTGTTAGTGAACATTCATAGAGGTTTCTTGAAGGCACAATAAAGAAGTAATGCCATATGTCTAAAACACTGCTAACATACTGCTGCTTTGCACAAAAACTATCTGAAATGTGAACATATGTTGGAGAGCCTGGGATCCAACTTATCGTTATTTCCAGGTAAAGAACACAACTCTGAATAATATATACTCTAATGTTTGATTTGCAGAGGTGTAAAACTATGAGCATGCTTGTGCAATCCTAATTTTGACTGCCAGTATTCTATGAATTTACAGATCAACTTCACAAACCTAGAACCTTCAAAAATAATTTAAACATAGACATTCAATGTACATTGGCAGAAACTAGTGGAAATCCCTTTTAATTATTGCCCTCTTTGACAGATGTAGGCCTCATATTTACACCAGTGGTTATGAGTGCCAGTGGTGTTGAGCACCGTGCAAGCCGTAATCCAATGGGCAATCCGAGGTCAGGTTCCAAGCAGGCAATTCCAGTACAAAAGGGGTCAGGCAGAAGAATGGTCAAATAACAGTTCCGAGGTCAAGGCAGGCAGAATTCAAGGTTAATCGAGGAAGTCCGGGTCACAAGGATCAAGCAAGATATCAACAAACTGGAACAAGGATTAGCTGACATTAAACCAGCAACATGGTGGTACTGCTGCTGGGTTTATATAGGGCCAGTGATGTCATTTCCTGTGCGCCATCATGGCAGATTTTCATACTGATGGATTACTGCTTCTGCGCATGCGCGGGATGGCGCATCTTCTTCCGCGCAGGTTACTGTTTCTGCGCATGCGCGGGATGGCGCGTTCCCGGGAACATGCAGGCCGCACATGCGCAGATGGCAGGGATCCATTACACCCACTGACCAACTATTCTCAGGGAGAAAATCTTCTTATTATTGTTTCCCCTGTGAGAAGCAGGGCTGGGCACACCTGGCTGCTCCTCTCTCCTCTGGTCCCTCACTTGACATTTTCTTGTAGACTCGGCTGAGCCAAATGTACTGGTTTGTAATGATTTGTGTTGCACAGTTTAATCTAGGGTGGACAGTTTATGTCTGCATGTATGACAGCTTTCTAATGTATAGCCACCCTAAGGGGCAGAAGTTTTGTGCAACCTTTTCCCTATACCAAACATTTGTATGTATACATAAATACAAATGTTTACATATGATGTAACAGGAAACGGATATATCTGGTTTAATAATACCATCAAAAGTTTAATGCAACAGTGTTTTAGTCAGAAATTTCTATTTATTAATTTTCAGAAAAGTCAGAAATTTCTATTTATTAATTTTTGTCATGGGCCACTGTACACGGTTGCATTTTACCTTTTGTTATTGAATAGGCCCCAGTAGGATGCTGTGTAACAGATAATAACCAAATTATGTTTTGTGCAATAAATGTATATCTTGCACTTGGAGGATGCAATACGATTGTAAAATCTCCTCTGTGACTACCAAAAACTATGTAGCGCAAGGACTGCCTGATTAGATACAATTTGAATAGCTAATTTTGCCAAATCTAAACATCGCTGCACAATCTGATTCTAATGTGTAAGCTCACATGTAAATTCTAATGGACCTTTAGTCTTTAATTAAAACAAATTCTGTAAAACAAACATCTTGGGGATACCTATTATGATTGCAATCAACCCTTAAATGTTTACCTGTGGGAAGATATGAACAACTCACCAAAGGACATACCTTTTTGAATTTTTTTAAATAAACCTCTTTTATTTTAGATAATTGATTTTGGTTGTTTGACATCACAGTCACTATTTAGAGGGACATCTGACTACTTTACCTGCATATAACTAGTTTAAAACCAACTTACCTGCGAATACTTGGGGATGCTTCTTTGCACAGTAAAACTTTCTCACATCTACCATAGACACTGCACCAGTTTTATTTGGGTCCAGTTTCATAAATGCCTAAAATAGAACATGGTTATTTGCATATAGTTACCATTCACCCCTAAGTGACAGTAATACCACTTATTACTCTTTGCACTTTTTTTGTTCTTAAATTCAAAAATGTACTGATTCTATCTATTTAATGACAACAAAAAAGCAATATTATTATTACAAAGGTAAAACCAATTTCAAGCTGTAAATCTCACTTCTATGCCCCTTATTCATCAATATTATATATTAAATGTATTATTTTTACTGTAAAATATTTAAAGTCATCTTTATAGATAATATTAATGACCTTAAACATAACAGTGGGCATAGGTTGCAAAGGTTCCCTTGGGAAAGAAAGTTTAGACCTCTTTGGTATTATGTTGTATGGATGTCACCAGCACTCCAAGTATGACAGAATACGTCAAGATTTTATATCACAGCGTCCCTGTTACCATGACAACCCGGTTTTCAGCCTCGCGGTCAGAACCTACACATAACATCACAACATGAATGAACTACGAACAATATGATCCAGGTACATATATTTGTGACAATGGAGTTCTATTTTGGTGTGGCCTGTCATAGCATTTTAACATGACATTTGTAACAAGGTTAACCTTTTGTTATGGCGGGAATTATGACGTCACTATGACGTCAATAGGGTGGTCTTATGTGTTAATCAGTCTTGTGTATGTGTATATAATGGTGATGGTGTAAACTCTGCAATGTTCACTTTAAGCCTGATGAAGGGGACCCTGCGCGGCCCCGAAAGCGCTTGTTTCCACTTTAAGTGACTTCAAAAATAAAATGAAGATTCACTAAAATCTTGACGTATTCTGTCATACTTGGAGTGCTGGTGACATCCATACAACATTTTATCCGATACGGCGCCATCCGTAGTCATTACGAGCGCCCATTTTTCCACATGGGAAGTCCGGTAAGGTGTGCTACAGGTCCTTGGACATTTGAACTCTTTGGTATTATATCGCCTATGTGAATTACTTCCTGGCATGGTGTCATCTGACCAGTCTACCTCCTTCATAAACATACAGGGCACCTACACCATTCATCACTTCATTCAGTTCAGCCATTCCCAGCATTAGTATACACAGTCTATATCCCTCTTGGGGGGCTTAACTGAATCTGGGCTTTCTACATATATGCCTAAAAACCTAGATGAAATCTAGAACCAAGGCTTTAGGAAGAAATGGATACTCTCTGATCTTAGAAGGTTTACTAATGTACCATTAATCAAACAGCCCACTGCTGTCTAGGAAGAAATGTAAACCCCTATATTAATAAAACACAAAGTGCAAATTTATAACATTACCTTTCGAACCAATGATTTCCTGTACTCATTCATTTCTCCCACAAGAGCACGGAGAAATACAGAATAGTCCACTCTTCCCTCATTGTTTTCATCTAGAATATCCCATATGGTTTCAAACATCTGAAAAGCAGCAGTTAGCTGTTTTATATTGTGGAGAAGCCTTTCTAGAGTCATTTAAATGGTTTACAAATGGCATAGAATAATACGTAAATAAAGTAGACAAGTACATTCATGTGCTCTTTGATTACAATTATTGCTACATAACAATACTACTTGAAATTCAATAGTGCAGGGCATAGCAATTGTTTCTACTTGTTTTTGCCTGTGAAAGGATGTGTCATTTTAGAACAGAAAGCATTTTTTCTACAGAGGGGAACCAACCATTTTTTTTTTTTTTTTTTTTTTTTAACAGAGTTACATAATGTCACATAACGTTTGCATGCATAGATTTTTTAATGCAACGTGTACCTTATCAGTTGTATTTTAACCAATACTCAGTCTAATTATCGCAAGTAAAAGTTCAAATCTGTTGCATTACCTATTAGGCCGCAGTATGGTCACCTTAAAAAGCAAACCCGTCAGCCACTTTAAACTTTTGAAAGTTCTGCCCAAGTTTAGAAACCAAAATGTGTCTTCAATTATCTTTGATAGCCTCTTCTATGCACCCCATCTAATTCTTGTTTTACTGTTTTGATGGCTCTACTTTTTCAGTGTTGGGATGTAACTACATCCCTAAAACTAAGTTTGATAAGGATCCCACCGCACTCCTGACCGAGTATGCCCCAACTTCCAATGGGGGGTGCTGCAATGACAGCGAATGGCCAGATCAGGTAAACGTGATAAAGAGTCACCAGTGCTCCAAGTGTTCCTTAAACAAAGTTATTTTGTTCCATGCATAAAGTTACATCACAATGTGTAGCATGTGAACGCTTCGGAACCCATCTGGTTCCTTCATCAGGCAAAACAGAGTGACAACTTAAAACTAAGTTAGGTGCACGTGGCATCCCACTGACTAAAGATAGTGCTACTGAGGTGCATTGGTTGGTTCAGGTCAGATAACTTAACTCTTTGTAAAAAGTGGAAAAAGTATCAGAAGAGCACAAAAAAGAGGTGTTTAATATCAACAAAGGTAATATGTAATGCACTGTGGTGCCCGCTCTTATTAAATAATTTTTTTTTAGAAAAAGTAAAATGACAACTTAGCTTTAATAGAATGTCCTCAATATGTCCAATTACAAAGCATGCACAGTCAGTGCTGATGTGCAATTAAACAGACAAGCAAAGTCAGAGAAAAGTCCTTATCTGTATGCTTGTTCTGGGTTAGTGATTTCAAAATACTAAAGCAAGCAACTACCATTTTCAGAATGAAAGCCAAGCAATGACAGCCTCCCTGTTTACATGTTACGCACAAGTTTCCAATATGTGTATACAGGTGAAACTCGAATAATTAGAATATCGTGCAAAAGTAATTGCAGTAATTTCTGCAAAAGGGGCCCAAACCAAGTACTGAGTACATATGCATGCTTGTATTTTTCAGAGGTCCGATATTGTTTTATGTACAATCCTTGTTTTATTGATTGCATGTAATATTCTACTTTTTTGAGGTTGTGGATTTGTGGTTCTTGGGGTTTTCATGAGCTGTAAGCCATAATCATCACAATTATGACAAATCACGGCTTGAGCGATCTTGCTTTGCATGTAATGAGTCTATCTTATATATTAGTTTCACCTTTTAAGTTGCATTAGTGAAATAAATGAACTTCGCACGATATTCTAATTATTCGAGTTTCAACTGTATATACACACACACCAAATACAATGTACCATAACCAAAAACGTGCTCAATTGAACATCCTCATAAAATCTGCAAGCTAAATTATACAATAACCTGAACCAATAAATAGATGATAACATGTATATGATAAAAAAGATCACTTTTAACAATAAATACTAATATTGTGTGCCACAGTGCATGCTAGTATTTGTTAATAATGGATATTTCTTAGCATAACAAATTCACCAACAGTGCATGTTATAGATTTGAAAAACCTGCCACTCTAGACTATTGATTACAAATCAGACTTGGCAGATGAGTAATTTCAGACAACATTTATGACAGGGCGCACTGACGTAGAGTTCCTTTAGGCAAATGTTCAGAATTGTTTCAATAGCTACTAAACATTCAATTTTTACACTTTACCTAAAGCTTTATTTATATGTAACCAATATGATCAAATTTCTGACAGGGTGTCATTTTTATACAATATAATAAACAATTATTATAGAAATATAATAAAAAATAGTATTCGTTTTTCTTGGTAACTAATGCAAAATATTTAATTTGCATTTTAGTTGGCAATAGATCATGACTATTTGCCCCAAAATAATTTGAGGTATGCTGTATATATTGTGGAAGAGCTGTTGTGGTGCTTGGTAATAATGTCAAGATACCATCATGATCCCATTTTGATCAGATGTGATAAGTCTGATGGTGGCAGCAAAGTTGGCCTTTGCAAAAATGGCGGGTAGTTCTGTTGTATAACACCAAATATACAGCAGTTGGATCAGGGCTGCAATTACACTTTTTATTTATACAAACAACATTCAGTGCCACTTCAACACAGCCAGAAACATTGTCACGGAGATGCAACCGGTACCATAACAACCCTACCAAATCCATGCCTTGATTTGATTTCCGGGCTATTTGTCAAACAGATTTAAAAAATTGCAGAGCCCGAACATAATGCCCTAACCCCATTGAAGTCTATAAGATCCAAATCTTGTCATTGTTTTCTGGCCTTTTTCAATGCCAATTTAAAATAATTAAGTAAAAAAAAAAGGGCACAAGTAACTGGGCACTGCCAAATGAGACATGTACCAGAGCAAAATAAATGTTATAAAAAAAATATAGGTTACCAGGGAGAATCTCTTTTAATAAGATCTAAAAATATAAAATTCCTTTAAATAACAAGCTTGGGGGATGCCTTAAACCAGCACGTAAAGTGGCATAACTGTAGCATGTACTACAGCAAAAATTACATTTAGAAAGAAAAAAAAATAAATTTGATCCTTAATGACATCTCCCACCTGGCTTCATTCTGTTTGTAAACAAAGCAGCCGGGGGATTCCCCTCTACATCCTTATCCTTGATGAGGGTCTGGTAGGGATTTTAAGGGGGTCCCTTGCAAAAGAAACAAATATAAATGGCGTGGAGTCCACAAAATCCATACCAGATCCTTGTCTGAGCATACATCCTAGCTGGCCAGGAAAGGTGAGGAAGCAGGTGGCCTGGTATTGGTCAGGAGGGGGGCACATACTTGCTGCTCCTTCCTTTTTCTAGATCCCATATGTTTTTTTTGTATATTTTGTCATTCTGCAGAGCATGGGCCTGGTATGTTTCAGTGGGTAAAAAAAAATATTATCTAGGTTACCCTGATAATCCATATCAGACCCTTATACCACAAAAATCCTGCAAGAAAAGTGGATTCCCCCACTTATAATTGACCCAAACCTCCTTACCAGTCATCAGGCACAATCGGAACCGATGCAGCAAGAAACATGTATACAGGTACAATCAGTACCATAATGGCAAAGCCAGAAAAATGTCAACAGACAGCTAAAAATAAGTAGTATGATGACCTGTGTGAAAGTGAGAAATATGTCCTCAGAAACAATCAGTACCATAGTGAGCCTGAAACATATCCACAGACACAATCAGTACTGTAGTGACACAGACAGAAACATGTCAGACACAATCAATACAACAGAGACATAGCTAGAAACATGTCAGACACAATTAGTCTGTAGGACCTAGGACAGTGATGAATAAGCAACTAAAATATTGAGAATTCAAATGTGAACCTCCATATAATATACACTGAGTGGCCAGATTAGTATGACCACCCCATCAGTACTTCGTTGGGCCACGAGATGACTCCACGAGATTACTTTGTTGGGCCGCCTCGTGACTCCACGAGATGTTGAAAGGTGATGCGAGGAATCTGACACTGCACTGTTGCCCTTCTGTTGTCTTGTACCAGTCTTGCCACTCTCCGTTCTGCCCTAACATTGACTGACGGACACAATTTGCATGTTCAGACCCAGATTTTCGATTGACAGTCCAGTCTTTAAACACTTTAACAACAGCTGCTCTTGAACATTTAACGAATTCTGCTGTTTTGCTGATACTCGCTCCATGGCTCCGAGCGCCAACAATCATCCCACGTTCAAAGGCTATTAAATTGCGTTGTTTACCCATATCTTCAGAACAAAATCACTTCTACTGTCGTGACAAACAACCTGCTTCCCTATTTATAATGGTCTGGCCCTCTAGCAAATTCAGTGCGAAATTATTGCTAATTATAGCTAATTTGCCTACAAACATCAGGTGGTCATAATAATCTGGCCACTCAGTGTATATCACACACATATTATGATTTCTATTACTTCCTATCGGTATAGGAAAAAAAATATTATTTTAGCTATATTTCTGCTTAGTCTGTAGGTGATTTGGGAATTTTCCTGACTTTCACTGAGACTCTAACACATTAGGCTCAATTTACCAAGATTACCAAGATGTTAAAACACCACTACTACTAAAAATGTTCACACATGAAATGAACATTTATCTATTGAAACATGTATTCCTCATAAATTGTTGTCTTCTACAAGACCCAGCTCCAGGTTCATCTAGTAGAAGACTTCTGCCACATCAACACTAAATGGTCATCACACCAATGTGAACACACTGTGCAAAATTTCATTTATATGGGTCATTATTTTGGTAAACTCACTTTCCTTTTGATATCATGCCATGTATTTTGTTCTAATATATTCATTCTGCAATGTTATATGAATATCCTGTACATAAATATTAGATGAGTTTCCTGTCATAGTGTACATGTGCTGTGTATTGATGCAGAATTCAAGTCAACTTTACAGAAATCACGTATTTGCAGGCTACTGTAACACTAGCTGTCAATGGCAGAGCATCCTAATGAAGTAAAAAAAATTCTCATCATCTGCATATTAGTAACAACTATATTTTTGTCATGAAAGCAACACTTACTTTCTCAGACATATCCAAGTGATAGGTTTTTAGAGCCTGCTTGTATTCTGTTTTCCCTAAGCATCCACTTCCATTTTTGTCAAGTTGTCGGAAGAGTTTCCCCAAACCTGTAAGAGTTCGAACACTTCTGTTCTTCAACTTTTCTTTCATCGCGTCTATAAAAGATTAAATAATTTTCAGGTCATAAATAATTTATTTTAAACTCTGTATCAATGAAAACCACAACACTGTACAAAGGGAATGTGAAGTCAGGTAAAGACAGTGTTGCAGCAGTACAGAGAAATGGAAAACTTTAACTTCTTTAGCAAATGAAGGTTGATGGTGATAGCAAAGATTGAAAACTGATCACATACCTTGTACTGCTAAAATAATGTTATCGTCATCCTGCCAGTGAACAACAGGTTCACACCTATTTTCTTTGAGATTGACCCTGAAAAAGTGAGAACATAGGAATCTCATGAAACTGTCATCATTATGTGAGGTGCTTTGGGCATTTTACACAGATGTCATCTGGGAGTCTGCCAATAGAAATTGTTCAGGGACACCCAACTGGCAGGAAGCCCCAGGAAACTGCAACACAAACTAGATGGATTAAACTTCCCATTACGCCTGGGAATACCACAAAATAGCTTAATACTCAAAAGTGTTTAAGGTTAGGCAAAATACCAAACTGAAGCAGTTTGCCAAGTCTACAGTGGGTATAGAAAAGAATCACCCCCCTTTAAAATAATCACATTTTGTTGCTTTGCAGCCTGAAATGAAGACAGACACAGTTTTTGTTTTATCCAGCTATATTTACTCATAACAACTTTATACAAGGTTTATGCTTACCAAGTTTAGGCTGAGCACCAATATGCATATATGTTGTTATGTTTCGTATGTTTTATGTCTTTAATAAAATATGATATTTTTACACAATCTTAAATGTTTGTGAAGGTCCTATAATTGACTAAAAAGCCCTTCATGACTTCCAGCCCTTAGCCTTTTGGCTTCGGAACTGTCTCTTTTGTCTACAATGTGTTCCAGAGAATGACGAGCATGGAGACATCTGTTCATGACTTTAGAGCTGGGGTCTGCAGCTGTTTCTTGTGTATCTCAGCAAACAGGCTGAATCAATGCATGTGCAATTAGCACCTTTCTTTTCCAGTAAGAACAGGGAAGGGCAGACCAAGTACCATACCACCAGTACAAACTGGAAAATATAAAGGAGCAATAAAAAGTGCTTTCAGAAGTGCTTGTTATTATCCCCAAGTGTACCTCTAAATGGCTAGATCTTTGAATGAGCAAAGAACAGAGGCTTGAGGACAACAACAGAGCTTTGGATGGCATGGTAGCTCCTAACAGGGAAATTACTGAAGTGTAAAGGCAGACAGTTAAATACAAAGATGTCTATGTTAACAAATTTACAGCTTTTCTAAGGTGTTATTAAGCCAATAAATAGTTTGTGATGTTCTTATGGTATGCCTTCATTCATCACAATAAAAGACATTTTAATATGAATGTCATGCATTTTACTGAACAGAGCATAATCATTTAAGGAACAGAGCTTAAAACTTAATTGGGAACTAGGTGGTCTATTTATATATACTATACAACAATATAAATCATTGTTTAAATTAAGGTAAAAAAATGATTCTGTCTATAGAACATTGCTTTTAACATTGATCTCCTAAGCACTTAGGTATTAGGCTGTCAGTGATGCACATTATAATTTAGTACTAAAGTCTGTTTATATCTAGGTTTGGCCATAGAGCCTTCCAAGTTCTAGTAATTAGAGATGTAATTAAATTAATTATGTAGGTGCTCTGAAAACAGGGAACCAATATTATTTACCGCATTCTAAAAATGGAACCAGAACATATGAATGTGTGAGGAGAAAATAACATTAAAGACACATGTAATTCTATGATTGAATATTATCTACGCAGCTTGAATGCTCTGCTCAGTGTTCCAATAATAGAAGAAATTAAAGTATTGCAAGTAGCACAAGGGGGTTGCGGCGTATGGTGTCTAAATGTACTTACCACTTTCCTACCTTGTCAGTACTAATAAGGGGCATTTTCTAATAATATCAAAGTAAACCCCATACATTCTCAACTTGAGCTCCTCAAACAGAAATAGCTACTTTATATGTATACAACAAAGCATCCTGTATCAAATACAGATGGTAACTGGTACAAATTGTATGAACAGGATTTACAGAAAACCTAATGTCAGTTTCCAGATTAAAGTTTCTTGCAAAAAAAGATAGTAGGTAGGAAGCCTCCTGCTTTCTCTCCATTCCAGCACTCAAGCCAGCGTTTTGGTCGTATCACGCTGTAGTTCTATCCCCTGACCCCTACATGGGAACTAGGGATGCACTGATACTGATACTAGTATTTGTATTGGTGCCGATATTGAATATTTCGGCAAGTACTCGTACTTGCCCAAATGCTCCCAATGCCTATGCCGATACTGGAACTTCTGGTATCAGGAAGCCGGGCAGCGAATCATTACACACTTCCTGGCTTCCTGATTGACCGGAAAGCTGACTTCATACTCCCTCATCACTTGGTGACGAGGGAGCATGGAGCCAGCTTCCCAGCCAATCAGGAAGCTGGGCGCTGTGTAATGACTCGCCGCCCAGCTTCCTGATTGGTTGGAAAGCTGGCCAATCAGGAAGCCAGGTGGTGAAAATTCAGAGCAGTATTGCCTGGAAAAAAGGATCCATGTTAGACAATGCTGGGGAAGGAGACAAACTAAATTCCCAGGCCTTTGATTGCCCTGCAAGAGAGGTACAGGTGTCCGCTGAGGATGGAGAAAGCAAGATGCCCCAACAGTTGCATAGTCAATGGCAATGCTGACAGTTCAAGGTAGGACATCAGCCTGGACCAACGGATGAGACATCTGCTTACTAAGCATGACGGTAAACCATTGAGCTAGGTTAGGGCCAGGCAGCTGGTATGGCCTAGTCAGTATAATATACACTGGGATCAGTCCAGGCAGCAGGCAAGAGATGTGGTAAACAGGCAAGATTTGGTCCAGGAAACAGGCTAAAGGGCCCAGTTAATGGGCAAAAAGTAGGTGCAGGCGGCGGGCAAGAGACATGGTCAGAGAACAGGCAAAGGATCAGTCCAGGCAGCAGGCAAAATACATGATCGGTAAACAGACAAGGGTTGGCCTAGGCAGCAGGTAGTAGACATGGTCGATAAACAGGTAAAGGGTTGATCCAAGTGGCAGGATAACAGGCAGGTCAGGATTCAGGTTCCACACTGGCAGCTAGTGAGAAAAACCTGTCACAAGCCCTGTCGCTAGCATGGAAAAACCTATCACAAGCCCTGGGTGCAGGGCTTGTGAGTTATAAATAAGGTTCCAGCAGACCGAGGGCCAATGAGACACAAGGGGAAGGGAGCAAGCTACAGCCACATTGGCAACAAGATGGTGAACATCAGGGCGCGTTGCTTGGGAAACCGCATGACATAGCCAAGGAGAGGCAAAGGGGAGGCAGAGTCAGGTAAGCAGCCATGCTGCCTGGGAAACTGAACGCCAAGCAGCAGTAGTGCTGGAAACAGCAGAGGAGCGCCAGGAAGCATTACAAGCAGCGTGGAGAGCAGAATGAGTTACAGGAGAAGAGACCTGGAAAGCTGACCAGGCAGGATGACCTGAACAGGAGACAGACTAAGTGCTTACAAGGCAGAGATAAGCAAACAAGTTTGAGCATCTAACGTTCACGGATTTAAATCTATTACCTATAAGGGCCTTCTGCAAAACAGCAAGAGGAAGACATGAAGAGCATTAACAGAAGACAATAAAGAGATCTAGCAAAGACAGCAGTTTAACATTAAAAACTCCTCACCTTACATTAAAATACAAGGTACACATAGTGAGCAGCCCCAACCCTTATTACATAAAAATTGATTATAACAAAAAAAAAATTAACATTGAATGAAAAACATAAAAAATACCCCCCTAACTCCCAGTTAATGCCTGCTTCCTGTCGCTAACATCACTGGTCCTCATAGCAGGATCTTGGGAAAGCTGAGGACCACAAATCTTGTGAACAGTATGCAGGAGCACATTCTCAGCTTTCTCAGGAAGCTGCAAGAAGACTCAGCATTGTCACCCCTGCCTATGTGAGCCGAGTGGGAGCCAAGTGTAAGGTAAGCATTTTTTACATTTTTCTTTTAATGTTCTTTCTTTATTGCTTTATTCTATTGTTTTGTAAGCAGAGGTTGGGGTTGCCACATATTCATACCTTGTATAGCACAAGGTCTGCATTAACAATGCATGTGCATAACAAAAGTAACATTGTTTCAGTTCAAGCAAATTAAAACGTCTGCAAGTTTAGACCTAAACTAGTTTGGACTAGAACTTTCACTGCATCTGAGTGGGTGTTAGCAGTGAACACATTACTTCACTACAGTTCACTTTTATTAATTTACCCCTTAAAGGCTTTTTTTTTACTGATTACATGTGCAGCATGGTTTATTCAAGTACAGCAATCCATAGTAACCAATTAGAAATAATATTTTATCTGACTTGACTATATTTAACTGAAATCTGATTAGCTGCTATGGGTTACTGCACTCTACATTCCGCATTAACGAAGCCAGATGGTATTACATTTGAGGCAAAAAAAAGCTTTACATAATAATTTGTTAGCCATTTAATGCACATAACTTTGAAAAATGATCCAGCAACTCTAAATATAAATGCCAATATCTATCTATCTATCTATCTATCTATCTATCTATCTATCTATCTATCTATCTATCTTTAATAATTTAATCCAATGTTACTTATACCTCAGGGATTTCATTGCATCATCAATGGCTGTGATTCGTATGGTAAGTATAGGATTTTTCTTCAAGCTTTCCGAAAGACTTTGATGATGCACTGTGAGAAAAGTGAGGTTTGCTCCCTGCAAAGAGCAGATTTACATAATATTATAAGGAATACATATTTATTTGACTTTGATACACAATAATTCAGTGTGCATTATTATATCGGAAATATTATTGGATTTCATCTTTCTAACTTCACTACTTTAGCTCAAACATGTTTCTAGTTTTTTACTGCTGCCTGTGTCACCCTTAAAGAGATTTCACTTCACTTGCAGTCCTGGTGACCAGGGTCATCACAGGAACCAGAAGTGGGGAAAATCTCTCCAGAAGGATAGTAGATAGTAATAACCTGACAAAGGTTCTAACCTTTCTCCATTCTGGATGCAGTGTAATGGAATTCCTCCAGCAGAGACACAGATAGCAATTAATACTTGACAGAGGTCACAGTAACCTTGGTCCTACAGTAATATGCAGAACAAAATGGGGGAAAAAACTTTTGGTTGTGGACCCACTTTACCCTCATTTAGTGAGCTCCATTCTTTCAAATATAGGAGGTTGCCAAGTTTTACTAAGAGGTCCATTTATAAATAATCTCTGTGAATGTTCATTCTATGAAAATGGATGCACAAAACCAACATTCTTGTTATATTTTATCAAATGTATTTTTGAATATGATTTGTAATAGCGCAGGGCCAATGGCTCTGCAATGTTTTCCTGTGAAATAAATTATAATGTTATGACTAGAAAAAATGTGTTTAAGACCGGTTCACATAAGTGCTTGTACAATAACTTGCTTTAAGGCGCATTCAGTTTAGCTGCGTTTCGAAAAAAAACTGAAATCTGTGCATCGTGTCTAAATACGTGTACATTTAAATGCACAGGAAATTGATCTGGGAAGTATAAAGTTTGTTTATCAATTTCTCCTATGTTTAAATAAAGCAAACACAGAAGGTCTGTGAATTATGTGTTTAATGCAGTGTTTGTACAGGATTTGTACTTTTGTTTATCCCCTGTTGTGATTTACACACTTTTGCCATGCTTCATAGCCAAGAAGATGACTGTGCTTTTCAGGATTCATCTATATAATTTCCACCTGTCTGCCCATTGGATAATGATGATGTTGATTTATTGATCACTGAACAAGTTAGTGGTGAAAGGGTGGCACAGGAAATTGCAAAAGTAATCCTGAAGATAAAAGTGCATATGTCTGGCTGTGCAGTGCCCAAATGATCTGTGAATCACAGAAGTGTCTAAATGGAAACATGAAACCAAAACGTGAAAGCAATGCCAGCAAGTAAGATGCAGCAGGTTCAGAGGCCACTGGTCTCGACGAAGAACTGGTTTATGCTCTTTCACACTATAGATTCCAATGCATTCTAAGGCTGTGTTTTTGTACGCTTTCCCACTATAGTACTGAAAACAGCTGGAGGAGAATAATTTTGTGTGTAAGAAAGCTAAGACTTAGTAACAAGTATAAAAACAATTAAGCCATCAGTTGAAAATAATGGTTTGATATGAATCTTTACACTGTTCCTTGACTCTAACTCATATGCTTTTGATGAACTAATGAAGGAACTACCTAATGAAGGTAATGGTTGAACTACATTTGGCTGAAATTACAGACTGTATAATCAGCGTGGAAACGTGCCAATTACAATAGGCAAGTCTGTAAATGTTATCATTTGTATTCCTTATCTCCAGAGCCTTCTAAATACACATCCCTTTTTTCCTTTTTGAAGAAGATAAAGCTGCTATGTTGCATTTGATTGAATGTGATGATCTGTTGACCAGTGATGTATTCATTTTCACATTATGGAGACAGATTGTAAAAAAAAGCAAATTTAAATAAATAGGCTTCATGGTTAGTCAATAGCTAATACAACATGGGCATAGAAAGCCATCAATCTTCCTTCATTCCATCACAATTTAAGCTTCCAAATTGTTTTTATCTTAACCACCCTTTGTCGCTTCAGCTCCCAGTAATGTTTCGTGACAGTATAATAGGGCAATTGCTCAGGATTATAAACAGGACAATAGCAGGAGGCAGTCTGTATATAGAATTCAAACTGAAAATCAGTGGAAGTTTCACAAGCAATTTCAGGTGAAGTAAAACAAACAAACCCAAAAAAATGGCTCTACAATGAATCCCTGTTAAGACATGTAGTGGCAGGTTTCTTAATTCAAAGTCTAGTTCTGCAGTCCCCAGAGCGAAGTCTTGCTTCCTGCTTAGACAAGTAGTCAGAAACATTTTGTTCATGTCTACCCTGCAATATATTAAGCTAACAGTGGTTATATTTGCTCATTTATTTTACTGCTACTGTAATACAAATACTATAAAAAGCAGACCAAGACAGACACACATAATTTAACAGAATATATTACAATGATAAAGACCTCTTTAAAGGAAAATGTTTTTTTACCCTTAAATGTTAAGGGACACCGGAAATATTGGCATAAATAAAACACACTTGGGACCCATGAGCATTACCAAAATAGAATCTATTTGGTGTTACATTGTAGAAACAATTGTGTTAATATTTTCAGTTACTATTGTTGTTACTGTTATTTGAACAATTTTGCTATCAGAGGTGGACACTGGCTTTGCATGCCAGTTTAAAAAAATGTGTTATAATGCAAGTATACATTTAGATTTTCATGGAGAGGGCTATGAAACTAAGACTTACCTAGGTTCCACCACTGCAAACAGTTTTAAAGTTCTGTATTAAGAACATTCTGCTTTAAAAAGCATTGCAGGGCCTGAGGGGATTTTTAAGGCAAATTTAAATAATTTGGGATTTTTGTTGTTGTTGTTGGTTGTAAAGTTTATAGGATTTTAAAGTGTTTCTCTATATTTGTGTCTATATACCTGACCAAAATGAAATGGGTTAGGCCATAATTATGTCACATCCAGGGGCATTCCCATAATTAGGCGTCCTCCTGCCATCTGCCGCTCGGCCGGCTGACAGCTCAGCCACCCATCTCCTCTTGCCTCTAGCCTACTGACAGCTCAGCCCCCTTCTTCTGGCCGCCTCAGGGGACAGCTCTGATCACATCTGTTGGTTACTTTGGTAAGAAACCAAATGCCTAAATATTGCCAGGGTAACTACAAGTATATTAATGGCGCTCATCAACTATCATGAAACACATTATTCATATACACACTAGCTATGTATTTGTATAGCTCGCTACTGTCTTTATGGACCTTGCTTTGTGCACTGGTGTGCAGTCATGTTGGAACAGGAAGGGGCCATCCCCAAACTGTACCCCACACCATAATCCCCCCTCCACCAAACTTTACACTTGGCACAATGCAGTCAGGCAAGTACCGTTCTCCTGGAAACCGCCAACCCCAGACATGTCCATCGGATTGCCAGACAGACATGCGTGAATCGTCACTCCAGAGAACAAATCTCCACTTCTCTAGAGTCCAGCGGTGGCATTTTTTACACCACTACATCCGACGTTTTGCATTGCACTTGGTTATGTAAGGCTTGGATGCAGCTGCTCGGTCTGTAGCTATTGACTGTGCAGACAGTTGGCGACGTCATTTTACGTGGCCTACCACTTCGTGGCTTAGTTGCTGTTGTTCCCAGTTGCTTCCACTTTCTTATAATACCACTAATAGTTGACCGTGGAATATTTAGTAGCAAGGAAATTTCACGGATGGACTTATTGCACAGGTGGCAACCTATCATGGTACCACACTTGGATTCACAAATGTTTATAGAAGCGTCTGCATGCCAAGGTGCTTGATTTTATACACCTGTGGCCATGGAGGTGATTGGAACACCTGAATCCAATGATTTGGAGGGGTGTCTCAAAACTTTTTGCAATATAGTGTATATCCATGGACAATCTAGTATGTGCCTGCACTTTATATCTGCTAACAGATTTCTTACATTTTTCAGTGTCATGTACTTAACATCATTTTCAGAGGTCTACCTCTATTCTCTGTACCTGAAGCATCAAAAAGTGTTCTTACACCTATTCTGTACTTTTCTGGAATAAAACCCACAAAGTCAGAAATGTTTGTGCACGAGATACTCAAAACTGTAATGTTTATTATTATGTATGGTATCTTGTAATTCGCATTCATTAATATGATTCTCATCATTTTAGCACTGTTATTCCATAATGAAGGACAAATATCAACTACAGTATGTGATGCATTTCAAGTACCCATCCCAAAGATTGTGATGCCTATCAACAAACATCTATTTTTTGATTACAAAAATAGTTATTTGGTATAGCAGCTGAAAAAACTGTATGTTTTATCTACTTCACTCATACTCTATAAAGACATCATGATCTACGATTGATTTGTCTTCTCATTGACATACACAGTTATTTATATTTTATATAATGAACAGAGGGCAAAAAAGTAATGACAATACTGAAGGAGAGCACATATCTACAAGATAAATTAGGGCAATTACTGTCCTCATAAACCATCCCATGATCTAAGGTGTCCCAATCAATGAAATGGCTTTCTCTCCGCTGAATGGAACACACACATTTTTCAAGAAGCTTAGAAGCAGCCCAACTAATTTCTGTCTGGTTAAATAAAGATATGAGGTCCATTTCTATAATAGAATGAGCTAATGCTAAACAACAAGCAAAATACAAACTTACAGAATAAAAATCATCAAGCTCATATGGTTTTCCCTTTCTTCGTCCACATTTATGAGAATAAATTCCTTTCTGGATAAAAGGTAAAGCTTGTGTCCTTTAAGAAAATATAAACAACTTGAGTGTTAGGTAAAGAATGCAAATAAATGTATGTCTAAAATATACTGTATTTTGCTTCATGGCTTTAAAACAAACAAGTTGTAATATTTACACATTCCTAGTGCTATAAAGTAGCTAGAGAATTAGCCACGGAGGTATAGAGGAATATTTTCCATGTTGATGACTGCTGTATCTAAACAAGGAAAGAAAAACTTTCTTTGGAAGAATTAAAAGAAAGGAGATGTGAGTATGAATAATTTCAGTTTTAAGAAAACAAGGTTGTACTTCACAAACATTTTAGTGAAGGAAATGTTAATGCCTTTTAGCCCATCTCAAGATTTGGTTGCTCTGTACTGTATGTCATTGTACAATCCCAAAATGTTATATTGGCTTTCCCATCTTGTGCTAATGAGGTATACAAAGCTTTAAACAACTGTATGAACAAGTGATAAATGCCTCAGTGTTTAGGCAGTATATCTGCTGTAAAGCAGAATTTCTGGATTAAGAGCTGACAACGGGGTCTAAAAGGAAAAGCCTGTTTTCAAAAGTTATAACGGTTATTGCTTATGAAATTTTTAGTACTTATGTGCATTCAATTTGCGATGTTATCAGTACCACCATGTTATACAGTATACCTGCTTTATTCTGAATTCTGAGTCTGCAATATATAATTAAGCTTTAGTAGTCTCAAGCGTAATATCTCTCACATGTCTAAACTCTCCCTGGTTTGCTAGCTGACCCCCAAAGACCCACTATATGACACCCAGCTACCGCAGATAGGATGCTCTAAACAACAAAACCCTTTTATCTGTTTAGCAACTTGTGCAGGTACTTATTCAGATGGTGTGCAGAAGACAATTGGAATTAAATAAAATGTTATAGATAACATTTGAAAATAGTCACATAAATTATTCACTCTGTTAGTAAGGCCTTGACTTTCCAAACTCCAGGATTTAGTCAAAGCTAACCCCCTCCCAATGATCCCCTGCCCAATGATCATGTTGGGTAATTATTTGCCGGGCCTGAGCACCAATCCATGGGATCAACCTCAGGATTTAGTCAAAACTAATCCCCTTCAATGGCCCCCTGTCTAATGATCATGCTGGGCAATCAGTTGCTGGGCCTGGGAACCACTATGTGGGAAGAACCCCAGGATTGAATCAAAGCTAATCCAGTCTCAATAGTCCCCTATCCAATGATCATGTTGTGTGATTAGGTTCCAGGCCCGAGCAATGTTACTTGTGAGCAAGGGAAACATGAACCACCTTATGTAAGCTTCACCTTTCTCAGCAATTCCAAATACAGGAATTTTAGGTGGCTGCGAATCATGGCGGCATGGGGATAAAGGAATTACACGCTCCTTCACTGCAGTAAAGTGAACCTGTTACTTTCCCTACTGTGGGCTAAACGCAAAATTGACTTTAAATAGAGAGGGAGGTAATGAGCCTACTGACAGATATCAAAATGATACAAGCTAAAGAGAAGCAAAATTTGACAGTCTATTTGTGAATAAACATGCTGATTTTGGTTGCTGAATTAACTGCATGATGAAAATGATTACAAGACATGACAAACAAAAGAGTAACAGCGGATGATAGGGTACAGTTTCTAGCAATAAAAAAAGTCTTCCCTCTGTATCATAAAACCAAATAAGTCTCTCCAAAAGAAGAGAGGAAGGATCCTGCCTGAACTCTGCCTAGTTGTACTGTACCTCAGCATGATAAAAGCTAATGTTCTCCACATTGTTTCATTTGCTGCAACACAAAGTCAACCTTACCTATTCCTTCCAAACTGGTGATATTCATAAATGGTAATAGATTTATCATGGGCGAAAAAGAACCCAATAAGTTCCCTACAGGCATCACGCCCATTTCTGAAAGAGATTTAAATGTTACATTTCAGCTTAGTTTAAAATACTTCATTTCATTGCATTACATATGTATTATTGTTATTCATCATCGTGCTTTTCAGAGATCTCAATGTTCCAACTAGCCAATATCCCCACTAGTGTTTACTTTGAACACTTTGGCTATGTTGCCTGGATGTCATGACATGCATTAATGCACTTGCATTAACTCATTTATGTGCAATAAAGCGAGTCTAAACCCAAAAACTCACATTTAATATCTGATTGCTTTTAGGAGGTTAAATATACCTTTAAAAATTATTTGTTATATCTGTTTAATAAGTTTTAAAAAACTGTTTCTCTTGCTCAGAATATTGTGAGTTCATAACTTCCTGTGCTCTTTGTCTGCACTGGCTCTTCTCAATTACTATCATTCCCAGCTATCTTAGAGGACTACAGAGCAACCCCATCTGTAAAATAGAAAGACGCGATTCAACAGTCTACAGTCTTGTCCTGTGTCTGTTGTCCTGATACAGTATAGTGAATGATGAGTGTTGTCATGCTAAGACTGACAGGAAAAAAAAGAAAACAAATACAGGCACTATTTAATGCAGTGGTTCTCAACCTGTGTAACTTCAGGACCCACATTTGTCCTTGGTCATGTCATTAAGTCACGACCCAAGTCACACCGCACTGGAATGCACAGCATTGCGTTACCACACATTTTAAAGTGGGCGAATGAACACTGGGCGGGATGTGCCTTTGCGGTGCCATGCAAATGAATGCTAACACAACGCACCTCCTGAGCCAGAAGGCCCGGTACTGTTCAATTAACACACTGTACTAGTGTGAACGGGATCTTAAAAACACTGACAGACACACACAACCACAGACACAATCTCGCACACTCACAAACATTTTCACACATACACACTCAAAAAAAAGTTTATTTACTTTTTTTTAAATCCACCCAGTCTTCCTAACTTACAAGAACTGGAGTGGAGCCTCAGCCTTGGGTCCAGTGTGGGCTGCTGTGCTGTGACGGAGTTCCATCCATATGTGCATTGCTTGTACAGCTCCCTTGTGCCCCCTGTAGAGGTGGTCGGAGTAAGAATGTGATGTTACTCTGGTCCAGGCACCTCTACAGGGCACGCAAGGGAGCTGTAAGCACTGCACGTATGGATGAAGCTCCCTCACGGCCATACCTCCAACACACCCCACCTCAAGCTGACACTCGGCGCCGGGCAGCATATTTTGAATGGCTGCTTGGCACGAGAACTGACCGTGCTGCGATAGGGGGAGGCTGAGGAGCCGCTCAACTAGCACACTTTCTAATCTTTAAAAAAAAAAATCATATTTTATTTTGGGGCTTTATTGTTTTACATTACTGTTGGGGGCTTTGGTGAAATATCAGGCGTTTAAACAGACACCTGATATTTTGAAATAGAAAAAGAGATTGAGTCCAAAATCTCTTTTTCTGCAGCCACTGTTATAAATGAACAGGAAGCCTCTATACTGAGTGCTCCTGTCCATTTATAATTTGAGGGGATAGTATCAGTTACTATGTCCACACTCATGAATGAACACGTGTCAGAGGGGATACAGAGCAGCGCCCAGCAGGTAGGAGAGAAACTAGAAAAGCACAGCATTTGTGGCCAAAAAACTATACTTTCGGCATTTTGCCCAAAGTGCCGTTTTCGGCCAAAATGTTTCGGCGGATGAAATTTCTGTGCATCCCTACTTCACTTACTGCATGCTTGGTCTGGATACAGTCCTAGAGTACTGAACTCCAGAAAGCGAGGCAACTAGCCTTCTCAGTAATAATAATCAGCAGAAGCAGCCAACATGTTTCTCTCATAACAGGTGTAAGCATGAAAAGCTCATAGAAAAACACCCATTATATTCTGTGCCTTAAAACATGACTCTAATTTACAAAGTTAAGATCTGTTTAGCTATATGTGCTTTTAAGGTGCTTTTAAGGTAACTCTGATGACTGCCATGACATTTGCAGATGACACCAGGTGGCACCGTCAAAAAACTCAGTGGAGAGTAAACCTGTGCTTTACTTGTAATTACCTTCTTTTTGTTACTCCATCCGTCTCTCTGGTCATCAGAGGTAAAAAGAAATACCTGGTACTTCAAGATATGGGAAATATGTCACTTAATCCCTTTCCTCCTACATGATAGCAAAATATGACGAAACATTTTAGTCGACTAAATTAACACTGCTTCATCCATGTGATAGTGCTGGTGCCTGAGCATCCAAAGCCCAAGCACCAGTACTATCACATGGATGAAGCAGTGTTAATTTAGTCGACTAAAATGTTTCGTCATATTTTTTGTCATCTGCATGTTTTCACTGATGAAAACTAAATAAAAACTAAGTGAAGAAAATACATTGCAATGTTCTCTACTGGAGATTTAGTCGACAAAACTAAACTAAAACTAAAATCATTTAGACGACTAAAATGCGACTAAAACTAAAATGCGTATTTTAGTCATGTGAATTCTTTTAGTTTTAGGTTTAGTTTTGTCAACTAAATCTCCAGTAGAGAAAAATGTCATTGTATTTTCTTCATAGTTTTAGTCCTATTAACTTAGTTTTTATTTAATTTTCATCAGTGAAAACATGCAGATGAGGAAAACTATGACGAAACATTTTAGTTGACTAAATTAACACTAGGATGAAGGCCCTTAGTCCTGTGTCAGCTGCTAGTCACAATTGTAATATGTCAAGTGTTAACAATGAATACAATCCTCACTTGCTTATGCCGGCATCCATCTGCTGTAGATTCACATTTTAAAGTGTTACTATACTCTGCTGCAGCTATGTGACATGCACAAGCTTGGCTGCTGACACCGACATCTTCTACCCGGCTTCTTCTGCATGGGCACTGGAGTTCATTCATCCATAAACAGCTGGGATTGTACACTGAGCTGCACATGCTACACAGTGTACACACAAAAGAAGACTGCAAACAGGAAGGTAGGAGTCATTTATTGTAAAAGAGACATGGTATGTCTATCCTGCAATAAACATCACTTTAGCTAATGTTAATATAGCCAACAAATGCCAGTGAATGGCCAGCAAATGTGAGTAAATACTTAAAGGAGAACTATGGGGTTAGGGCTTTTCCCCAAAGTTCACCTAAGGGTAACGGGAGGACGCAAACTAGTGTCTTTCATCACTACAGCTCGCGGTATACTGAGACGCCTCAGCTGAAACGGACAATTATGTCTGGATTCGCCCAGCTGCGTGAGTGACAGCTGGCTCTGCCTATCTAGAGGCAGAGCCAGCTGTACCTGCCCCCTCCCCGTCCGTTCCGCCAGTCAGCGCTGGAGGATCGGAGCGGGGAGGGGGGAATCCAGTCCCACCCCTGTCACGGCTCTCTGCCGTGACAAGATCGAGAAGTGAGCGAACGCCGGTATGTGTTCGCTCACTTCCCGATCTACTGAGCCGACCTGTGACAGTTTAATTGTCACAGGCCGGCTAGAATTATGAGGATGAGTGAAAAGCACTCACCTCATAGTTCTCCTTTAAGTACACATACCGTATATGCCCATGTTTCCCAGCTCTTAAAGGTGAATTATGGGGTGAGTGAAAAACACTCATCCCCATAATTCCAGCCGACCACTGACACTGTCGGCTCTATTGATCGGGAAGCCACCGAACACATACCGCCGATCGCCAACTTCTTGCTCCACTCCTTGCAAAGAGCGGTGGCTGTCAGTCACCGTTCGGATTCTCTCCCCTCTCCGTTTGTCTAGCGCTGACTGGAGAAATGGATGGGAACAGCTGGCTCTGCTTCTAGAGAGGCAGAGCCAGCTGTCAATCAGGCAGCAGGGTAGATCTCAACAGTATTGTTGGGATATGTCCTGGCTGCAGCGCAGCTCTGCGCTCTCAACATATAGTGGTCAAGAGTTCTGGGTCACTGGAGGACATTATTATTTGTCCTCCTGTGACCCTGAAGAGAACTATGACCAAAAAGGGTTTGGCCATAGTTCTCCTTTAATATAGAGTATATGCATCTGAAACTCCTATCCTTTTACATAGGTACCTGCCTTTCCATTTTTATGTGCGCACACACCTGAAGATGAGTAGCTTTTTTTCTGGATCACTAATTGCACTTCCAACTATTACAAAAAATGTGTAAAAGCACATTACATTTGTGCGTGCATTAAGGCCCACATTTTGTGCACTATGGCGCTGTGTTAAGGCAGCCCATTCATTTTTAATGGACAGGCAGTGCACCTTAATGCATGAAAAAGGCACCTGCAGCATTTGTAGCAGTGCAGGGAACTACAAAGCATTCTATGTACCGTACGTTCTAGTCTTCTGTGCTTCAGGTGCATTGACAAGTACTGTTCATGTGCGTTAGGGTGGCAATGCTGATAGCCATGCCGCCTGCAACATTTTTTTCATTCCATTCTGGTGCAAGCAGGCACAGCCTACATGAGAGTGGCTCTGAATTCAGGAGCAGGGCAGCATCATTGCCACACCTTCACATGAAGCTGCATTAGGTGGACTTCACTGGCACATATTTGTGGGACTTTGGAGGAGATAGAGAAAATTGTTAATCGTTAAATAATTAAGTCTTGCAGCACATATATTTAAATAGTAGGCTGTTAGATTTAGTTTTTCTGTGTAGTTTTATAGTGTCCAGGGAGTAAACAGGGACCAGGAGTGAACTGAACCAACACAGCTTACCGTAGTGCGGACAACATTTACCTGTACAGAATACAGTATATACTTTGGAAACATTTTGCCTTTATCTTACTATTTAACATGCATAAAATATTTAGCATCTGCTACCATGTGTAAAAATAACTCCAATGTATAATTTGTTAGGCTAGACTACAAATGCAAACCTATATTTAGCGCATTTAGATGCATCTGCAGAAGAACAAATTACTCCGGACAAAGCCTGGAGATATGAATCGGTTAAACTAGTTATAAAAAGCATAAACTGCAATCTTGATCAATGTACAAAGGGCATTTAGTTTGCTTCCATGTACAAAAATTATATAATGTATTTTTTCATTGAACGCACAGTCAAAACATAGTTGCTTTTTTCGATACAGGCATTTAATAAAATTAATAATAGCCCGTTAGTAAAGGAAACATTGCCCCAGTGCTATGCCATTGTTTCCTGGTAAAGCGAGGCATGCTTACAGTGACTAATGTGATCCATGGCAGTCTTTTATTCTTATTATACAGAAATAACATCATCAGATGCCTTGAAGCTACAAACTCATGTTTAACGTATTCCATTCACCAAAGCCACCAACAGGCCAGAGATTTATATAGGAAACAATTTAATAGACTTTTAAAGGAAATTACACTCAAGCGAGGATACCACAAAAGGCATTATGAGATTTCCTTCTCACTTGATGTATTACTAATGTCATTACGTGTACATTTTCAGCAATGGCTAGCAAGGCAAGTGGCTCTATATGTGAGCCTTAATTTTATTTTGCTACTAAATAGCTGCAGATTGCAAATAAACACTTTAACATAATGACAGTCAAAGATTGAACAGCTCGGCATTACAGAGCAATGCAGATCAGACTGTAACATAGACCAACTTGTATATCTTAAGTGCATGTAAAAGCAAAACCGGAAACAGAACAGCAGTGGTAACAGATCAGTCATTACAGCGTAGTTTGTAGCAATAATACACCCTGAGAACTACCATCTCTCTTCATATGTAAGGCTAGGGGGTTCACCATCTCCAATAGTGAATGGATGCCAAGTGCCCATGCTGATGTTGTCTATCCACTGCCCTTGGCTAGCAAAGAGACTGGGGGCTCTGGGAGCTCAATTACTACTAATTTCTGAGATCAATGGAATGCCAGATGACTTTGTACTGTAATTTTGATCCAAACTGCAGCCTTTTGGCCCATGATTCTGTGGTGTGCAACTTCCTTCTATGAGCTGCAAAAGGACCATGTTCAGAACCAATGCACTCACTGAACTACCTTTCTGCCAGTTCTGATTAAGGAGCCATTCCCAATATTAAGATATCAGCAGTCATAAACACGTACTAAGCAGGGCATTCAACTGTACAATATGAATACCATCCAGCAGGCAGGCTGTGTTCGCTGAGTGAGCCTGAATGCAAATTGTTCATGTCTGACTGGAGTGTATCTTTAAAAAATAAATTTCTGCCACAGAGCTGACCTGATTTTAAGATGATCACTGTTAAAAAGTTACTTCAAAGCTGCACATGTTACAGAAAAAGAATGCAGATATTTTTTTTGCCATAAAAATAAATGGAAAAAAGGTAAAAAACATTTAAAGAGCAATTATTCACAGCAGAAAACAACACAGCAGTTAAGATAATAGAGTGAATATGTTGACAAATTGACCAATCAATTTTCAAATTGAATATAGTTTTTAAAAACAAAACTAAACATAAAATTGTTTTACGGGTAAAGCATAAAGGTTTGGGGTCAGTTGTCTTTCATTCAGAATGCCTGTACAGATTCTTGAAATACACAAATGGAAATGGTTTGAATAGAATATGAGCACACGAAGGATTCTCAAATGAAACAGTATAGAGAACAATAATGAGAAGTGCAGCAATTCTTAAGAACCAAACAAAACTAGAGCTAAACACTAGCTGCATAACATACATTTTTCTAAATCATTGTACATAATACTCTAAAAAATAAAATATAAAGTTTGCCACTTTATAAAAGGAGAGAATGTTACATACAGCAGCATTTTCCATTTTTAAATGTTAAAATACAGAAGTTAACCATTTAGGAATGGGTGAATGGTATGACTAAAAATGACAGCGATTATTTGTTGAAGAATAGGTGAAAGATTTGTCAGTAATTCTTTGGGGAATCTATATATGACTTGTAATGATCCCTTTAAGCCTGGTAAAACCCACATACATAAAATGAAAACATGTTAAAAGTGAATTCTGTGTCCTTGTGTATCCATTACAAAGCAATATAAATAATCTATTTAGAATCCAGCAGTGTTAGGCTGTTCCTTTAGAAAGACAAATGAAAGTAAAGCTGCAATGCCTCTAAGGTAATCATTGAATCAAGGAGATATGGAGAGGAATTAGCTATTTCAAATCCTTTTAAAAAGAAGAGGGTGGAAATTCGTAGGTGTCTTGTTTAAAAACAAATGACACCTTACAAAAATCTGCTAAAGATTATTCGGATCAAATAAGCCTTTATTGGGTTATATTTCAATCACTTGATAATGTCATATAAAGGTCACAGTGAAGCACTTTCTGCCCTTGAATGTGAAGGCTTTGATGCAGTGACTCAGATGTGCACACTATAGATTTACATCAATCTTATATATGAAGCCATGTTCATAGGCCTATCTGTCGCATGCAGTATGACAAACATTCAACACACAAACCAGCCTCTCGTAATCACTCCAAATTACCTTATTTAATATGAGCTGTCGAGGGAAGAATTGTCACACTTTTTACTGTAAAGTGATTGCGCACAAAGACTAGCTAGCTGTTAGCTTGTCATAGAAATGATTGAACATTGTTTGGAAGAGAGTAAGGCCTTTGTTTTAGCAGCATTTTCAATAAACAGCATTCTACACTTTAGGATCTTATACAATGGTGTATGTTACAGCAGGGCTGGACACATTCTAAGAGCCAGGTAGCAAACGCTCCGTAAAGATTACAGCTGGTGTCTAATTTTTAAGGTTTTCTTTAGTTGCTGTCAATGGAGCTTGCTCCTAAAAAATCCTGCTGGCTCCCAGATTGGACAGACTGGCCTCTAACATATTACATATTAACTATGTGTTAGAGTTCATGCATGTTATGGAATGAGATGGCTTCTCTGTTTCTCCAGCAAGTAGCACAAGGCTCTTACCAAGGCACAGGCTCTAGCAGTCTCTGTTCTTCTGCAGAGCTGCTGATAGCATGCATCGTATGTTAGCACTAGAGCATGATTTCAGGTTTGGTGAGATGGTGACAGCTGACAACACAGTCAGGACCAGAACACAGCACCAAATCATAGGGTGTAGATGAGGGTAGGACAGGGTAGAAGTTAGGACTAGCAGCATACAGATGTAATCAGGAAACAATCAAAAGCAAAAGTAACAGATCACCAGTCTGAAGTTGTAACAGGTGACCAGATCCACAGCTTGGCAGGTCAGGATCAACTATCTTTGATCAGGCAACCATCAATTGTTCTGATCCCAATTTAAAGACACTGTCACCAGATTTAAAATGCTCCAGTAAACCCTTTTATCAATAAAGCTAAAATGGAAAAACAATGTCACGTCCACTAGTTAATCTTTTTCTGTAACTATGGCTGTTAAGCATCAAACAGGCATGTTCCTTTCACAGCCTAACTCAGGGGTAGCCAAACTCCGGCCCTCCAGCTGTGGTGGAACTAAAAATCCCATGAGGCATTGCAAGATTCTCACAGCTACAGACATGACTCCTGGAGAGAGATGCATCATGGGATTTGTAGTTTCAGCACAGCTGGAGGGCAGGAGTTTGGCTACCCCTGGCCTAACTGAACTTATTTAACAGCTGAGGCACAGTGCAGGAACTGCTACTTTGTTTAACTTAGTTCAGACACAGTTCAGATAGCAGCTTAGTCTGCCCACTGCTACTGCTTTGCTAGATGATCCTTGTACCTGAATATAAACCTGTCCAGATTGTGGTTAAACCTGGAGGCTAGGAAATCCACATCTGGTACCCTCCATCTGTGACAGAGGTACTGGAACACCTCCAGGCATAGGGGCCACTTGGGTTCAGGCACTACTGACTGAGAAAGTGTGCCTGTGAATTGTCTATGCCAGCGGGTACGCAGCGGACAAGAGGGAAACATAAAGTTAAACTCAAGACAGGAACCAATCCACTTCTTTTGCCATGATAATATTTTTGGTTCCTCCCTGATGGGTGATGTACGCCACTACTAAATTTGGACCGGATGACCTTCCAACAGGACAGTTCAATGCTGCAGAGACAGCCAAATCACCTGTGTCAATTGTCAGAAGACATGAAGAAATTACTTCCTTGATTTCACAGCTGGATTACCAAGCCACCAGGCTTGGGTAGGTAAGGGTTGGATGGTTAAAAGTGACCAAAAGTCACCGTAGGTGGGCAGCAGAAACAAACCAAGGATCTAGGTTCCACATGGCTTTTTTAAAGCAGGAGCAGCAGCGGAGAGATGATCCTCAATGCTGTATAATGCAAAAGGGAGCACAGAGCGCAGGCAACACTCCACCCAGCAGAATACTTTATTCCCACAGTCCTAACTCCTTCCGGAGTGGAAACCAGTGAGAAATGGGAAATTGTTAAAGGTGCCCAGCAACCTATGTACTTGAGATAGCTCCCGATGCTAGGCAATGCCAGCATTTCTGGAGCTGGAAAGCGTTCTGCAGCTAACTTACCAGAACAGAGCCTATAAAGCGGCCTACACAGAACCCAGTGCCCAAGGGCCACTTCCAGGCTATCCCTTTAATGTCCAGTAAGCCAGTGGAAATCTTTCCAAAATGAAGAGAAATCCCACTTCTGACTCCTGTCAACGAAACAAGTGTTCCTATTGAAAGTTATCAGCTGTAATCCAAATTTATTGGCAACCTTAAAATATTGGATTTCCCCGCACCTTATCTTCTGGTTAGGTTATATCCCACCGAAAGAGACACAGACAGCAAGAAAAACTAACTGTTCTGACAGTTCATCACTCTATTATACAAAAAACCTTTGGCTGGAGGTATTCTTTAAGAACTCCACAGAAAATGCTGGAGAATAGATAGTAACCCAAGGACCTCAGGATTGACGTGACCCCCTCACAATATGGGAATTTCTGCTGATCATTTTTAAAATAAGTAATGTATTCATTTAGTTTTACTTTAACTTTAAACGCTTTTAAGGTTCCATTACCTGCATAGAATTCTTGCATCAAAGCATAGCCTGTGTGAAAGCATGTTTTCCGTTAAGGTCGACCTTGTTTTTATCCTATATACATTAAGAGAACATTATACATCTCATATTATTTTAGAAATACACAGTATTACATAGCAACAAAACAGAAAAGTGTTTTTTTCCCCACTGAAGTACTCAGGAGAGACATTAATGCTATTATCTGTATTTTACTAAAAATATATAGGTAAAAGTGTTGTAGCACAATATGTGATGGGGTCAATATATGAGAGCTGTTTTAGTTGCCAAAGAAGTTTTACTTTAGCCCATCAAGTTCTGAAATTTACACAGCTCTGCCCCAAGCACAAAGCCCTGTTTAGTAGGGGAGGGGACATTACCTTTCTCTAATGCAGTTTTACTTTCACTTACAGGTCCCCTTCCCATCCCCATAATGTGACTGAATTGTTAATGGGAAGCAGTACACTGATGAGCTCATCTTTCTGTTACTCTGCTCATTCTTCCTCTCAGCATGCTCCTCGCACTGCAGCACACATTATTGGTTCCTAGTGCTTCTTTTTCCTCTCCCTCACTAAGCTATTGTACAGATTGTAAAGTACATTGCAACAGGGTAAAATTAAGTCACATTCAGTTACTAACATAACATTTATTTTTACTTTAATAAGTCCCCCCGCCCCCCAGTGAGTCCTCACCACCAGGTCTTATACTTACATTCAGCCCCAAATTCAGTGATCTTTACTGTGTGGCCCCAATTGGAAGCATACAGCTTTTTCTCCAAAAATGGCCAGTTGGTACTGCAACGCAACACGGCTCTATTCATTCCTATGAGAAAGCTTTACTCCAGGTGCCCACTTGAGGCTGCCATTAGTATGGTTTATCCATAGGTATGAATGGAGCTGTGGCACATGCACAGTATGAACTGGTCATTTTTTCAAGAAAGGTTTTACGGCCATGAGCAGGTGAACATTGCTGGATTGTGGCTGAAAGTAAGACCTCGTTGCCAGCATTTAGGGGTGGTGGGGTAACATATTATATAAGCAAATGCACAAAGGTGCTGCTCTCCGTTAATGATGTATTAATGATTACAAAGCAGCAATAATTTTTGTCGTTTATATCTGACTGGATTTCAGCTTTATATTTGTCATATGAGAAGAACACAGGTTTATCAATTTTGGTTGCATTTAAAGTGACGCTAAACTCAGGAGAGCGAGTTTTTGCTGGCTTGCTCATGAATCCATCATGGTATATTTTGTAATAAGGGACTGCATATACCAGTAAACTGAATATGTTTGATTTTCAAAAAATGCCAGCCATTTCTGTGAGTAATAATACAATTTTCATTATAGAGATACTCACAGAGATACACAGATCTGAAACCAAAACTGACTGCATGTCCAAAAAGGGGTGGTGGTCTTATCCAAGCACAAAGCTAAAACAAAGATTCCTTTACATTCTTTACAACACGATAACAATTTGAATTGTTTCTAGCCCAATGTTTCCCTTCTTCTTAATCAATGGATGAGTATAACTTCTGGCTGTACTGGTATTTAGTTTATTGAATCTCATATCATGATATTTCCAAGCAAGTTAATCTACTTAGCAGGGTCTTTGTTCTTCTAAAATGGCTTTGAAATGTTATTAATACAGTCACAACATGAGTCATACACAGAGAGAAAAATGGTGAGATAAGGATGTAAGAAACATAATGGGGAAACAGTGTGAACAAATGATAAAAGGTTTCTACCTGGTACCTGCTTGTGAAAAATGATGCAATATACTGCCAGAAAGGTAGTAAGAAATATAGGTAAGAAGCATCAAAGAAAAGAGGACTTATAGGGGTCTATTCACGAAGCTGCCGAAGGATCTAGCCGTAGCTTCGGCCGATCCTTCGGCTAGCTTCGGTTACGGGAGTCCATCGGTTAATTCGAACCGAGAGCCTGCTGTACGGGCTATTCACAATAGCCCGTACAGCTCCCGATCATGGCCGAGCGGCTCAGCCGAGCCGAACGCATATGCATCGGCTCGGCTGAGCCGTGCTGAAAGCCGAAGGTCGGCCTGATTCTGACAGTTGGGCGGAGCCAGCCGTGATCTTACGGCTGGCTCCGGCCACTTTCAGAGAGATCAGCGTCCCTGGTTAACTGCTAACCAGGGACACTGATCTCCAAACAGCAAACTCTCCCTGGCGCCCCGGGAGTCTCCTGCTCCCGGCCGCCAAGGAGAGAAACAGTGCTTTGTCTTTTTTTCTTTATTCTGACACGATCGATGTCAGAATAGAAAAAAAAACCAAAACATTACTATTGGCTATTTCAAATTGCAATAGCCAATAGTAAACTAGTGAACAGCAGTGAGAAGCCTGCCGGAGGTTTGGCTCAGCCGATCCTGTGATGTGGAATTGTTCAAGAAACTTTTGGACGATTTCTTAAGGGACCGTAATATACAGGGGTACGGGTACTCCTAGAATGAGATCCTAATAGGTTGGACTTGATGGACTAATGTCTTTATTCAACCTCAAATACTATGATCCAGATGTTGGATCGGCTGAGTCGAACTCCTTCTGCACTTCGGGTCGGTCGAACATGCTGAGCATGTTTGGCCGACCCGAAGCCACTCGAAGCAAGCCGATGTACGGCTGATTTCAGCCGATGTACGGCTGAAATTAGCCGTACCAGCCTGAAGTGAATAGCCGAACAGTGTTCGGCTCACTTCACTTCAGATCGGTCATTCACTCGGCTGCCCTCGGCAGCTTTGTGAATAGACCCCATAGAGAATATAGAGAACAAGACAAAGTGAAAGTTAGGCCTAAGATACACAGTTGACTTTAGTAGCTCAACTGTACTGTTAAAATAGCTTAATTTAATTGAAAACTAGCAATGGATTACTAACAGATGGAACACATGGTACTACTACAATACTGTGCAGTGATTAGCCACATACTGTAGCATTATGCAAATATATGTGAATAATTGCTACTACAAGTTTCTGTTTAGCTTATGTCATAGGAAGCTATTTGGTGGAGCTGTTTAGTAGCTTTTACTTACCACGCTACCATAAAGCTGTGACTGATGAAGCACCTAGGGAACAGTCATTGTATACTCTCCAATCTCAGCCATTAAAGCCTCTAACTCTTTTACAGTGGTCATAGGTATCTTGGTGGCCTTCTTCACTAATCTTCTGCTTGAATGGTCATTTATATTTAGATGGCCCGCTCTTGGCATATTTACAGCTGTGCCGTATTCTTTCAATCTCTCAATGATTGATTTAACTGTGCTGCAAGGCATACTCAGTGAGATTTCCTATCCATCCCCTGACTTGTCAAGGCTGATCCACTAAAGGAGCTCAGGATCATTTAACAAAAAAAGTGTGAATATTCACTTTAATTATCCAATCATGTGAAAACCAAATTTATGCTTACTTAGTTCATCTGCAGATGATTGGATAATTGAAGGTAACTTTCACATAATTTATTTGTGATGATTCTCAGCTATTGTAGCAAATCCGCTTCAATCTGTTTTTTTTAATCTTCATTGTGTAGGTCAGGGCTCAAAATTTCATCCCCCCCCCCCCTGGATTTCCACTCGCCCCCACGCAATTTTCACTCGCCAATTGCGAGGTGGCGAGTGGAAATTTTGAGCCCTGGTGTAGGTTACTGATTCTCCCATTCCAGAAGCTGAACATATTTATTTAGTCACTTGTGGCCCCTTGACTTTTCAAAGGTGATGTCCATATAACTATGTTACTTCTTCTAAAAGATTTGACTGCACCAGTGATGACTTAGTTGTGTCATAATAAAGGGGGTACATACTTATACAGATAATTATTTTGTGCTTTTGCCATTGTAATTATTTAAAATCACTTTGCAGAACTCTGTTTTTACTTTGACATTAAAAAGACAATTTTGTTGATCGGTGTCAAAAGAAAACAAAATCCACCAGTAATTAATGTTCTGTGACAGTAAAACGAAAAAAAATAAAACTTCAAAGAAGCTGTTTACTTTTCTAAGCACTAAATGTACTGTATTGTGTTTGCTGAAAATCAGAGTAGGACTGCAGCAGTAAAAACTTGTGTTTTGATTTGTGCAGACACATAAAATGAATAGATATATATATATATGTTACTTGGTCTCATGTAAGGTTCTCTTCTTGAAGCGGAGTGGGGCAGATGTTACATCTCGCTGAGGATTATTCAGAATGGATGGACTTGCATTTTGCTCTGGGTCACTGATAACAGCCCTATGAACACAACACAGCATGCACTTTCAGCTACAAAAGCAAAATGTAAACGCTGACATTATAATAATGAGAAACAAATGACGTTACATGTTATCAAACTATTAACTGAGTAAATAGACTTGACAAAAGAGGCTGCCTTCTGGTTTGAAGTATAATTGCTTGCTGATGTCATCACATCATTTATCTTAAAACAGGAGTAATTGTGCTCTAACTTTTCTGTTGTAGAGCTTTGGGGGGCACATAGGAAATGTAGATGAACTGCTTAGGTTTGGTGTAGTAAGCCCTATGTTTACACAGATGAGTAGACTTTTGTATGAAAGGGAACCTATTGTGTATTTTTATTATGTTTACCTTTAAAAAGCTTTTCACTAGCTATTCACATTACATTTGCACACTGTGCAGTATTTTCATTAAATTTTCAAGTACAGATTTGAAAGATTTGTCTTTTGTTGGCCATCTGTTTTATTAGACAGTGCAGCCAGCTTCCCTGCTAGATGAGTGTGAAATAACAAAATTACAAGATAAGTCACATTTTTCAGAGCTTTTTTAACTGACTTTCACTCCACTGCCAAAAGCAAAGGAAGCACAGCATGTATATACGAGGAACAAATATGTCTGCCTTCATTTCTAAAACAAGTGTGTCCCACATCAATAATATTGTTTACATTAAAACCAAACTCTAATTTGTTTCTTTGAAATGTCCACCTCTGTGTTTAAAAAAATTAAAGTAGAGGTGGCTGTAATATTCACCTTCAGTTCATAGCAGTTCCTCTTCTTCACCACAAGATGACCTCAGTCTTCCTGAGGAAAGACTAAGTGTAGAATATCATGGCTCCCTTCCCTGAGCACCACACTCTGCACTCAGTATATTGATGCAAAGAGCAGCGCTGATGCTATCATGTCAGCTATGCTCTCTGCATCATCCAGACAGCTCACCGCCTGAAAAATACTGCATTCACGGGATGTTGGAAAAACGGGAAATACAAGGTTCTGACTTGTATTTTCCAAGTGGTTTTACAAGATGCTTCCAGAGTTAGCCAAGTTGTGGTGTTACAATGCTCTTAATTGAGCTGTTCAACTCTATAAAGCCAACTCTTAAGTTTCTCATATATGGGCCCAGTGGCGTAACTATCCCCATAGCGACACTAGCGGTCAAGATGGGGTCCGGGGCAGACGTGGGCCTAGTCAGGAGGCCGGGGCCCTACGGCGGCGTTGGTGGAGGAGGTCGGGGCTAGGCCAGGGTGGGTGTGGCTGTAGCGGCCGGGGCCCAGCATCGTCAGTACCTGTGGCAGGGGAGGGTGAAGGAGGAGGAGACCAGGGGCCTGTCGGTGGCTGCTGAGGTGGGCTCTGCAAGGTCTGAAGGGGGCTCTGTGAGGTCTGAGGTGGGCTGTGTGGGGTCTATAGTGAGCTCTGCAGGGTCTCTGGGGAGCTGTGCCATGTGTGTGGTGGGCTCTGTAGCAGTGAGCGGCAAAGTGATCTGTTCTTCGGCTCTTATATCAGAGCCAGCAGGAGCAGAGCTGAAGAGAAGGAGATGGCACAGGCATGAGAATGCGTTCTGGAGATAGGTACATTTCTTTTGGTGGGGGAGGCCCCATACAACATTTTGCTATGGAGCCCTGTGATTTCTAGTTACACCCCTCTATGGGCCAGTTCTTTGCTGACAATGGTGGGTAGTAAGTAGAGCTGCAGCTAACGATTATTTTCAAAATCGATTAGTTAGCCGATTACTAAGTTCGATTAATCGGATAAAAAATCAAATACATTTTAAAAAATGGCTCCAGTGATGGGACTACTAGTTTGTATTGAGATTGCAGTCCATCACAGGAGCAAGCTTGGAGCGGTGGAAGTAAAAAAGAAAAAAAGATAGTGTGGTGTGCAATATAGTGAAATAAAAAGTGTAAAATTATACAGCAATGAATGCAGAATGGCATCGGCTATAGAGGACTCCAAAACACAGCAATAGTACATTATACAGCACAATTTAGAATACCGGCAGCTATAGAGGAATACAACAAATCCCAGCAATAGTACATTATAGCTGGCGGTATTCTGCATTGCTCTGTACAATCTACTATTGCTGGGTTTTGTAGTCCTCTATAGCTAGTGGTTTTCTGCATTGCGCTGTATAATGTAATATTGCTGGGATTTGTAGTCCTCTATACAGCGCAATGCAGAATACCACCAGCTATATAGGAGTACAACAAATCCCAGCAATACATTGAGTGTGAGGCGGGGGAGGAGGTGCGGCGTGTGGATGCGGGCGGGTCTGGCAGTGGTGAGCGTAAGGTGGGTAGGAGGTGTGGCGCGCAGCGTGTGTGGAGCCGTGAACAGGGCCAACCAATAGGAAGCCGATTGACAACTTTTTCAATAATCGATTATAATCGATTATGTTGATTAGTTGTTGCAGCCCTAGTGGTAAGACATCTGCTTGTGGGTGGACATGAAGGGCCCTGTCTTGGTTTTCTAGTCATGCCGGTGTTGCAATAACAATGAATGATCGTCAGTTGTCAGATAACAAATGCACATACAATTGCTGTCTATTGTTATTAAGGCCAGCTTTAGACCTCCAGTATAAATAAAAGACAGACTAGCATTCCACTGCATCTGATAGGTTGGGAGCACTGAGGGAGGACAATTTTGCTTTGCCACAGTTGGGTATGATTCGAGAATCTACTTTCAGTATGATAAAGGTGAAAAGAGTCTTGCATGGCATTTAGTATGTCTGCATATTATATCATACCTAGATAGCTGGTCTATCATAACTTGCTCTACAACAGCTTGCTTTCTTCTCTCTGCAGCCATATCCTCCTGCAATTATAACCAGGTGAAAACAAAATAAAACAATTCAGTTTAGCTGAAAATAGAATAATCAACTTGATGCGCATCACAAGACAGTGTTGAGATTTACAAGTGACAAGGGGATTTCATCCTGCTCTTCTAAGGAAGCTTTTTGCTACGGAGGCCTCTGCCAGACTCCCGTCATGAGCTAAGAATTCAGGCATATCCTAAAGCAGCTGAAATGTCAGCAACATCTCCAATTAAATTCAGGATCATCCAGTACAAAAAAAAACACAGTAAATCCCTTCAGCACTTGAACATCTACAGAGCATTGCTTAGCAATGCATTAAAATGCACACATCCTAAGCAGAACTAAGCAACACAGTTTGGTTTTACACCTTGCAGCACTGAGCAAACCCTTTATAAAGTTTATGTTGCAAAGAAGTTCTTAGTTAGAACAAGACCAAAAAAAAAAAGATTATCTCCACTAAAATAGTGGCAGGTTAGATATCGGTCAAGATAAACTCAGCAACAATAAACAAGCTGAATAAAGTGATGTCAGTTCCCGATTTATAACTATAAAATGAGTGTCTCCAGCCAGTAAAGGTGACCTCTAGACATTGTATACCAACTAATCAATGTAACCTTGCTGAAGAAAAGGCTGTAGTTTTCCATTTACAGTATATCTATAGCTGAGGTTTTTTGCTTGCATATGTAAGTCCTTCAGGTGTCCCAACAGCACTTCTAGAAGTGTGGATTATGGTCACAAGTAAAGCTACTCCCACAAGTAGGCAAATTGTTGTATGATGCCAACCATTGTAAAAATCAACAATTTGACTTGCGTGGGTACAGTGCAACCACATAAGACTAGTAATGTATGGAATGAATGCCGCTGCAAAAGATCAACAATGTTCAGGATAGGGCTGCAACCAATGATTTTTTTTCATAATCGATTAGTTGGTCAATAATTTTTTTTGATCAATCAATTATTCGGATAAAAAAAATTAAATAAACACCATCCTTATTTTAAAATAAAATGCACAAATGCAGTGTTACATAAAACTGCATGAACATTTTTTTTGCAATCGCTCTGTACTGGAACGCACAGCTTTGCAATAGCGTGCCTAGCGATCACACTGTGGGTGGAAAGTGCATTTGGTATGCCATTGAAAAGAAAAGCACTGCAGCGCACCTCCCACAGCAGAATATGTCAGGCCGAAGCCAAAAATACCTTTTTTTCCCACCTTTTTATAATTTTTATTTCAACAATTGTATTGTAAGCACATGGCGCTTGTATAGCTTCAGCCAGGGAATGACAGCTGCCAGTGGCAAGCTTCCGCAGGTGGCAGCTGAATGTAAATACAGCAGGTAGTGGGCGGGTGCAATACCCTACCTGCTAGTGGCCATTTCAAATTGGAATAGCCAATAGCAGGCTCGCTATTGCACCCGCCCACTGCTTGCTGTGCCCTACTCCAAGTTTGGAGGAGAAAGCCAGGGGATCCAAGCAACTAATCGATTATTGATTATTATTATCGATTAATCGATTAGTTGCTTGCAGCCCTAATTCAGGACCTTGGCTGAAATTTCTTTTCACTATTTCTCCATAGAAATGCATTTATCATGCATATTTCTGATTTTGCCTTCATGGAAAATGACTATTCTGAATGTTTCTCACTCATAACAAATGCAAAAATAATGTAAAAAAAATCTATATATAATAATACAAACATTCATAAATGGATGCAGTAAAGCATCCAAAAACATGTGTAGCTGCAAATGCATACGTGGGAACGTGCCCTCTGTGTTACTGAATAAGCTTGCGTGAATAAACATGAGAAATTACCCTGCATTTGTTCTGCTTGTGCACTTGGCCTTGTTTTCACAGACACTTTAAACTGTGACAATCAAAAAGTAGAATACTTCACCTGAAATGTTTTGTTCAATAGTATTTCAGCCAGAATCACGGCACATTATTCTAGATTTTCTTATAGAAAGGAGTTACATTTCAGTTTTCCCTAGTTTTAAACACTCAAAATAGAAACAATCCCTGGAATTCATATGACACTCTTTAGATTTATGTGCATCAGCTCAATAAATGCTGGTGCTTGTCCAAGATTCATGTACCTGTTGGAGCGCAAGCACTGCTATTTGTAATGCGGAGGCACACTAAGGCCAGAGAGCCCGTTACAGAAACGCTGTCCTCAGTGCAACTCACCACATCCCACAGTGGCTGCACCTGTCTCACAACAGCACAGAATTAGGGGAGTTTTACTAGTAGGTGGGCAGAGTCTGATGGGGCAATATTTTTCTGATGGGTCTGATGGGGCAAACAGTTTGCCTGAGGACGGGGCCGCATGGTCTTGAAACGTTGCTAAGGAGATGTGTGTTATCTCAGTCAATAAACAGCATTGACTTCAATATCATGGAGTGCTAGTGACTAATTTAATCTATCTACATTTCACGGAGGCATCCGTTGTCACCACCGCACCCACCCAGTTGGAATTGGGTTTTTGTCTGGTCAGGAGTGCGATGGGACAGGAGGATTATATTTCTCCATCAGGTTTGCTCTGCTAGTGATTGTCAGTAGGAGTGGGCTGATTTAATAGCCAATAGACAGCCTGCTTTGACTACGGAATCGGTCCACTGACTGCTGTCAATCACTAGCAGAGTGGACCTGATGGGGAACTAGTCCCTCAGGTTGCCCCTTAGCCTCTGCCCAGTGTCAGAATCATTGGTTGTTAGAAGGCTGTCAACTGTTGGCCATACAGCGTCTTTAACAACCAGTGACACTTAGGGAGGGAAGGGGTAGTGCAGGCAAGTATGCTGCGCTGCTACACAGCCTACAGAGACAGAAAATGTGTTTCTATTTCATGTGCAATGCACTTTATATTTGCTGGAGGTACCTTGATAAACAGCTTTACTATTTACCACTACAATTGTCTTTAAAGTCATATGTCTTTACATGGTACGTAGCTCCCCAAGTGGATTATAATAGTACATACTTTTGTTCTACAACTTACAGCTTCCAGTTTCCTGAGGCTATGCTGTGCAGAATACGGTTTGCTGGTGTCGCATTGCTGAAGGTAAACTTTATCATCCAACGGTGTTATGGCACAAAAACCTGGTTCCTCAGACGGTCCTTCCTGGTGCTGCAGCAGCAGAGAAGAATCAGAGCAAGTAAATCAATTGGCTAATGAATTGTATTTCTTTCATAAAACACATACATAGGTGCCAATAGTCCAGAGGCTAAAGGCATTGCTACAATCAGCATCAGGTCAAGGGCTATCAAATCTACTAACTAAAGATGCTTTTTCTGAAAGATAATCTTATCTAGCAATATATATATATATCTTGTTTTAGATGTACAGCACAATTAGAAGCACTACTGAAGCTTGGTCACACAAAGTTAACTTGTGGGTGTAAGATGACAGACTGCTGATATAAATAAGCAATTACTTTATGCAGGATGAATCTATTTCAGATCAGTCTCTTCTGGAATGACAGGCTGAAATTATGTTAGCATTACTTGTTTTACAAAAATGCATGCCAAATTCATAGTTACATGGCGGTTACTTTTCAGTTCCATGGTTTTGATATTCCACAAGTGGTTTAGTAGAGCTTTCCCATAAGATAAGTGCAATTAACATATTTTATGCATGATACTTACCTGGAAAAGTCTCTCTTGTGTAGACTTTCAAGCTATAAGACTGCTGCTTGGCATTGACATCTTCGATTGGGGTTTTGTCAGCAGCCCCAGCAGACTAAGAGTTGACAGTGAAGGGATATCTCATTCTAATGCACTGAAGTCTGACAAAGAGACAGGAGAACCATGTCCTAGTTGACCAAAAAGGCCAAAACCACCTTAGGAAGCAAGGATGGTCTAGGCCTCAACAACACCATAGACAAAAAGTTTTCTGTTGCACACTCAAAGTTTTCAACAGTTTATCACACAGACTTGAGGGGCTGCTCATCCAAGGCTCTGGGGCTTCCACCCTTTTCCCTTTTGTTTTCTCAACAACACCATGCCCATAGAGTTAATGGTGACAAGGAAAGCAACCTTGTGAGTAACAGTGAAAAAGGAAGTAACCCCGACAGGTTCAAAAGGTGGTTTTTGAAAATTGGAGAGAACCAAATTCAGATTGCGGGTCAACACACGGGAGAGTTACAGGAGAGACAACCTGAACAAAAGTCCCAATTAAAGAAAGGGAGGCAAGAGGTCTCTAGAACCAGATCAATAGTGACAAGATGAGGCCCTTGGTGGTACTCACAGTCAACTGTTGATCTAGTCCAGAATGAAAAAAGATGAGGATTCGTCCTAGAGAGTATTTCCTGGGATGAAAACGTCTTTCCTCGCACCAAGAGAAGTATGCCTTTAATGTGCTATAGTAGACCTGGCTTTTGACATAAAGGGAATAACCAATTTGGACACACTTCTGTTCCTCAAGACTTGGGCTTCAACGGTCGTGCTGTCAAAGCCAGTGACTGTGAAGTGGATGATAAATTGGTCCTTGAGACACAAGCTCTAGATGATCTTGAAGATCCCAAGGAGCATATGTCAGGAGTGTGATCAGGTTGGAATGCCAGATCCAACTAGGCCAATCCAGAGTAATGAGCATTACCAGAATGCACTCCATTTTGAGCTCCATATTTGGCATCCTCCACCTATACAAGTCCTGGAACACCACTTGGTAAGGGGCCACTCCCTCGGATTTGGGTGCTGCCGGGATGTAAATGGAATATGAGGCCAGAATCCTTTCTACTTCTCTTTGCTGATGGTTGATGTATGCCACTGCTGGGTCACTCTCTAACTGAATCCTGATGGGCTGACCCTGCAGTCGGCATGGCCAGCGTTGTAGGCAAACCTAATCAATCGGAGCACCAGAATGTTACTTGGAAGCCGTGATTCCTCTGACATTCAAGTCTCCTTCACTGACAAAGTGTCTAGAACAAGATACTGTGCAAAGTATGATTGGAGTCCATGCGAGACAGAGAGTAGCTCCTTTAGTGACTTTTACTATGCCACCAACTCTTGTGGTTTAACAGTCCATATGGAAAATAACAATAGAGAAACAAACTGGTCTTTGCCATGTCCTGGACTATGAGTCCTGGCCACAAATCTCACCCTGTAGCTCTTATTCACACTGCTACTGCTGCGTTTAGATGGTCTAAATGCAGGAGCAATAACAAAGTTTATGCTTCCCAGATCACTTTTTTCTGTGCTTATGAGTTCCTGCTTTAAGGGGCCATTCACACCACATCCAGATCATCCCAGACCAGACCAGATTGTTCCCAGACACAGAATGCATCCTAATGTATCCCTATGCTATTTTTGGCCACACCAGCGCAGTCCATTCCAGACCAGGCCAGAAAAATACTGCAAGTCTCACTTTGTCTGGTCTGGGATGCACTGGAACTGCTGGCAGGTTCACACCATTTTCCGGACCAGGTCTGGTCCGGAAAATGGTGTTCACCTGCCCTAAAGCAGGTTTAGTCGCTTTTAGACGTATTTAGTAGTGTTTACAATAGGATAGCCGCGTTTAAAGTCTCTAATCCGATTATGAGCGCACAGATTTCTATTTTCTCCAAATGCAGATAAAGTAAACCGCCCTAAATGCAGGGAAATGTCCAGTCTGATTGATACCACTGAAAAGTAATTTCATGCATTTATATGCATTCAGAAATGTGCTCTAATATAAACACAGATTTGACATCGCAAGTGTGAATGAGGCCTAATAGCTTCCGATCACTACTACGCTAGTGTTTTTTGTTGAGGTCATAGAAAAAGACTTATACATGGGAAGAAATCGAACATCCTATTGCACAAACAAAAAGAGAATATTTTGAAGGGAATTTATCAAAACTGGAGCAGACAGAATCTGGAATAGTAGCCCATAGTAACCAATCAGCTTCTCTCTTTCACTTTCAAAGATTACCTGAGCAAATTGAAAAAAAAGAGAAGCTGATTCCTGCTGATTAATTACTATAGGCATCTGCTCCTGATGCTCCCTGCTCGCATTCCGATAAATTCCCCTCGTTATGTTCTAAATAGGTATGGCTACCTTGTTAATCAGGTTTCAAAAGTATAGGTTGTATTTCAGTAACTTGTTAGCTTTTTGTTTCTTTCTTTTTCTCTAGAGCAAAAACTATTTCTTTTCTCTGAACACTGAAAAGAAGCATAGCTTCCTAGTTGGTAGTGAGGAAATGTTTCCCTATAACCTTGATCTAATAATAGCTGCGCTATTCTAGCTAACTTACAATGGTCACACTGCCACTGGTCTAAAACACTCAAAGTACAACTAACTAAAAGGTGTTCTGTATAAAAGGCATATGCTTAGTGAAAAGGAGAAAATAAAGAAGTAGAGTGGCAACAGAACAGTATCAGAGAGACCGAGTACAGCGCCTTTAGTCGAGTGGTAGCCATGTGGAGAGAAACATGGACGCGCCATTGTGAGATTGCACCATCGAAGGACAACGTGCTGTAGTGCACTTTCTTTGGACAGAGGGAGTGAAACCATTGGAAATTCATTCTCGGATGTTGGCTCAGTATGGTCATAGCATCATGAATCAACAAATGGATTTTGAGTGAGTAGAAAGGTTTAAAGTGGAAAGAACAGGTGTAACTGACAAAGCTCGTTCTGGTAGCCCATCAACATGCACACAAGACCACAACAACAGAGCGGATGCCCTGATTAGAGAAAACCGACGGATAACAGAGTTTCAATTGGCTGCACATTTGGATATCAACTTCAGTCTTCGCCCCAGGCTTCTTCCAGGTTCCTGGACTTTGTCGGATTAATTGGCCAGGCCCAGATGACTTAACTCCAATACATGGGAGTTAGTTCATCTCGGCATGCCGAGCCTGTGCACTGAACTGCGCATGTGCAGCTCAGTGTAAAGTGGAAAAAAAATGCTGATAGGCAGCAAGAAGCTTTTTGGGCTTGTTCACACCATGTCCGGATCATACCGCACTGGAACGCAGGGTATTACCATGCGGTCCTGTGCAGGCAATTGCACTGCGGTGCGGGGGGCGTGCCTGCAGTGCCATTGACATGCCCCCTCCCGCCCCAGAATACAAGGAGACTTTGTGTATGCGATCCCATGCATTCCGGGCACAGGACAGTGCGATGAGCACACGGGCTGGTGTAAAGGAGCCCTTAAATCTAAAGACATTTATCAAGAAATTAAAATTAAGTATTAAAGAATGAATGATGAAGGGCACAATTAAATAACCTACTTTTTTAAAATAATGGATTCTTTAAGGGCTTGTTCACACCATGTCCGGATCATGTCCAGACCAGATCAGTTAGTTCCCGGAACAAAAAAACCTCCCAATGTATCCCAATGATATTTCTGGGCTCCGTTCACACCAGCGCCGCCCGTTCCGGTCCAGACAAAAACACACTGCTTGTCTCATGTTCTCTGGTCTGGAATGCACTGGAACGCAAGGAAACGTATAGAAAATGCATGCAAACGCACTGGACTGCACCTAAAAGCCCAGTATAGGGCCCATTTACACCATGTCCGGATCAGATGCGGTACGTTAAATTTTTCTCCCGCACCAAAAATGCATCCCAATGCATTTGTATGTGATTTTTGGGCTCTGTTTACCCCAGTCCAGTCCGTTCCAGTGAAGGAAAAAAAATGCTGCATGTCACATTTTTCCGCCACTGGAACGCATCACAATTGCACCGCAACGCAACAGAAGCTATGACATGGAGAAGGTAGTAAAAAAAAAAACCCGCACTGGAACGCATCACAAACGCAACGCACCGCACCACGTTTGCAGAAACACATACAGATCTAAAGATAATGGTGGGAAATCTGCGCTAATGGAAAATAAAAATTCTCACAAAAAAATTAAAAAGTTAAAAGCTGCAATATCAAGGTTGTGAAGCCTTAATCATCAGAAGAATAATTAATAGAGCGCTCAGAACCTTTCTGTGAATCTAAACATACTAAAAAGTGCTAAATAGTGTTTTAGTGTGAATGCAAACAAAACATTTATATAACCATACTATAATATAGAGTGCGTAAGACCTATGTGTAAATTAAGGAACTGGTAATACATAAATTACATCATAACATAAACATGATTCTAAAAGAATCTATACAATACAAATATATATAATCCAATAGCAGTGAA